GATATACCCTTGGACTAAGAATGAACTGGAAATAGCCTAGCCCTTGCAAGTATTGAAACATAGATTCAGATAATGTCAGTCCTTATAATTAGATTAAATTTATCCAAATTGTTAGTGTTTCTAGCTGCCTGTAAGAAACAAATGTAAATCTACTTTGGGGGAAAATAACATTATAAACTTCAAATTGTTTCCATAGTTTTAAAATATATAATAAATAAAAAATTAAAAAGCATAAATAAAATATAAATAATAAACACAAATACCACTGCATACCTATTAGAATGGCTAAAATCTGAAACATCGACTGTACTAAACAATGACGAAGATAGGGAACAAATAGAAACTCTCATTCATTGTGTGGAATTGGAACAGGGTACAGCCATTTTGGAATACACTTTGGTAGTTTCTTACAAAGTTAGACATGGTCAAACCAGACCATCCGGCAATCATGCTCCTAGATATTTATTCAAATGCATTGAAAACTTATGTTCACACACAAAAAAACACATAAACGTTTATAGCAGCTTTATTCATTATTTGTCAAAACTTGGAAGTAAGCAAGATGTCCTTCAATAGCTAAATGGATTAAAAAAAAAGAACTGTTCTATGTCCATACAGTGGATATTTTTATTTAGCAATAAAAACAAATGAGCTGTCAACCCATGCAAAGATGTGGAGGAACCTTAAGTTCATGTTGCTTGGTGTGAAGGAAACCAGTCTGAAAAGACTATATACTGAATGATTTCAACTGTGTGACATTCTGGAAAAGGCAAAACTATGGAGACAGAAAAAAACTCCAGTGGTTGCCAGGGGTGGAGGGGGTAGGGGTAAGGATGAATAGGTAGAGCAAGGGAATTTTGTAGGGCTGTGAAACTATTCCGTATAATACCATAATAGTGGATACATGATATCATGCATTTGTCAAAACCTATAGAACTGTACAACACAAAGATTGAAACTTAATGTCACCTATGGACTTTAGTTAATATTATTTCAGTATTGATTCATTAGTAAACGTACCACATCCATGTAAGATGTTAATAATAGGGGAAACTGAAGGGGATAGTATATGGGAACTCTCTACTGTTACATTTTTCTGTGCAAACCCAAAACTACCTTAACTGTTAATAAAGAATAATTGTCATCATCATCATCATCATCCCAACCACATGAGGAAATAACACTGAAAAGCAAGAGAAATGATAACCAATAAAAACAGACTCCCCAGTAGAGGATCCAGGTAATGAAATTATCAGATATAGAATTTAAAACTAACATATTGTTATAGGCTTAGAAAATAAAAGCTTGAGAATGGCTCCAGAAAACAAAACCATTAAAATAAATAGCAAGTTTAGAACTAAAATACACAATAACTGAATTATGAACTTAGTGGATAGATTTAACTGCAGACACCATCATCATTCTCAAGATATGACCAGAAATCAATGAAACAAAATATACGCTAGAGAAATTTTAAATACCAAGGGCTAATTTTTTTTTTAAATCAGCTTTTAAAAGATTAATAAAATTGATAAAGCCTTAGACTCATTTTTTCCTAACTCCCCACAAAATAGGTAGGAAGTAAACACAGACGAACAATATCATGAATGAAAAAGGGGTATCACTATATTTCTTTCTTTCTTTTTTTTCCCAAGATTCTAAGTAATCTCTACACCCAACATGGGGCTCAAATTACAACTCTGAGATCAAGAGTTGCTTGCTCTACCGACCAAGCCAGTCAGGTGGCCCTATTATAGATATTAAAACAGTAAGAATATTATATAAACAACTGTGGTAATTATGCAGTTTAGATGAAATGAACAAATTCTTTGAGGAACATCTTAACAAAACTAATACAGGAAGAATTAGGTAATCTGAATAGTCCTGTATCTGTTAAGTAAATGGAATCCATAATTTAAAACCTTCCATAGAGAAAATGCCTGGCTCATTTGGCTTCACTGATAAATTCTACCAAATACTTAAGAAATAATACCATTCTTAACACAGACTTTCTCAGGAAATAGAAAAGAAAGGAAAACATCCCCACTGCTTATATAAGGTTAGAACCCAACATTGTTGGGTTTATGACATCATAAACAGATGTAAAAGTCTTAAATACTAGTAAACTGAATCTGGTGATATATAAAAATAATATACCATGAACATGTAGGGTTTATTCTAGGAATATAAAGTAGCTTAACATTCAAAATTGATTAGTATAATTCAACACTGTAACAGAACAAAGAAGAAAAACTATTGTGATCATCTTAATAGACATAAAAATCTGACAAAATTTAACATCCTTTCACAGTAAACTCATTAAAATAGGAATAGAAGGGATTTTGTAACTACAGAAATCCTACATCTAACATCATACTTACTGATTAAATATTGAATGTGTCCCTCTACCCACCCAAGTCCAGGAACAAGACAAGTATGTGAACTATCACCATTTTGTTTAACATTTCATTGGAGGTCCTAGCTAGTATAATAAGAAAAAGAAATAAAAGATTTATAAAGAGTGGAAAGGAGGAAGTAAAATTGTCATTCACACATGACATGATTGTATATGAATAAAAATGCAAACATCAAGCTGTTATGTACAATTTAAAATTGCTGGAAAAAGGTCAAGTAACAAATGGATTTTTTTGTTATCCTGTTTTACTATTTCTAGCAATTCTATGAATAATAACTAAATTTAAGTACTCATATGAATCATTTTGTTGTGTTTGCCTTCTTAGGCTATTACAGAGTTCAACAGTCTTTTTTTTTTTTTTTTGAGAGATAATTGACATTAACATGTCAGTTTCAGGTAGACAACATAATGATTTGATATTTTTATATATTGTGAAATGATCACAATAAATGAGTCTAGTTAATATCCATCACCATACATAAATAAAAAAATTTTTTTCTTCTGATGAGAACTTTTACGGTTTACTCTTGTAGCAACTTCCAAATATGTGATACAGTATAGTTATCATGCTGTATTACGTCCCTGGGACTTACTTTATAACATAAGATTTGTATCTTTTGACTCCCTTCACCCATTTTGCCCATCCCTCACCGCCTGCCTCTGGCAACCACCAATTTGTTGTTTGTATCTGTGCGCTTGTTTCATTTGTTTAGATTCTCCAGATAAGTGAGGTTATACAGTATTTTTTCTTTCTTTGCCTGCCATAACGCCCTCAGGGTCCATCCATGTTGCCACAAATGACAAGATTTCCTTCTTTTTTATGACCGAATCATATTCCATTGTGTATGTAATTGCTGGATTATATGGTAGTTCCATTTTTAATTTTTTTAGGAACCAGCGTACTGTTTTCCATAGTGGCTGCACTCACAGATTGCTGGTGAGCATGTAATTAATGGAACCACTTTAGAAAACTGGTGGTATTTATTAAAGCTGTGACTCACTCCTGAGTATATACTCAAGAGAAATGAGTGCATATATCAACCAAAAACATGTTAAGGAATGTTCATAGAAACTGTATTCATAATAACCTCAACATTGAAACAGTTCTGGTTTTCATTATGAGAATGGGTAAGATGTATATTTATAAAATGGATGACAACATAACAATGGAAAAGAACTGCCATACAGTAACATGGCTTAGTCATATGGACAACATATTTAACAACAACAAAAAACCCCAGAGACTGAAGAGTATATAGTGTATGATTCTTTAAATTCGGGTAGATTGGTAGATAGAGTTCTAAATTACCTGTAAACATATAAATATATACTTATGGTGATTAAGGACAGAAGAATGGTTCCTTTGCCAGGGTAGAGGGGAGGAGGCACAAGGCAACCTTTTGGGGTGCTGGAGGATGGGAAGTGATGGGAAGCATGAGAAAGAATGCCCAAAGCAGTGTTATTTCCCAATTGGAAATAACCAAAGATGACCCCCAGTGGTGGACCAGGTAGATATATTAAACTATGTGATATTCGTAAGTACAGGACAACATGTGGTAAGGTACTATTCCTGTAAGCAAGAACACGAATACATCTCATAATCTTGAGTGAAAAAAGCCATTTGTAAAAGAATTTCTAATAGACTATGATTCTGGTCATATGAAAATCAGCAAAACTGTGCTCTGGCTTTGGAAGTAAATTAGTTGGTTGCCTTTTCAGAGAACAGAAGGGGGTAGAGACTGAAAAGAGGAGGGGTCGGGGCACTTCTGGTATGGCAGTGCTCTTGACCCATGAGGTAAGAGGGTCAGCATTTGCTTTGTGCTTTTACATTTTGCTTTACATTTACATTTTGTGCATTTTTCTATAAGCCTGATACACTTCAGTAAAAGAGTTACAAAACAAATACCTGAAAGGTCTGTAGCTACTAAATCAATTGCAACATTTATATATATTTTTCTATAAAAAAACAAAACCTCATATAAAAATGAAAAACTAATTACCTTTGTTTATATACCACTTTTGCATTATACGCTGATTTTTCCATATTGGAAAATTTTCCCTTTGTAAAGTTTAAATTTTTTCTTTTTAATATTTAGAAAGGCATACTTTCAAACTGAGATGCATCCATAATCTGTCTTAGCTTTCTGATCCTTTATTGCTTTGGTAACAATTTATCAATTGTAAGCATGCTTTTAATTTTAAAGTTTTAGTTCTTTCATAAAACATGTATCTTTTGGGAAAATAGCTTGTGATTCCTTATCAGGTGACAGGTAAACTCATTAGTAAAATTTGACTCCTTCCTTTTTTAAGTATTTTACTTGCAGCAATTTAGTTATTGATACCCATTTTCTGGTTTGGCATTCATAATAGTTATTTGTCACAATGAGGATATGAGGTACATTTGTGGCTTATTATCTTTGCAGTTTTCAATAAGAATCATATCTACTAATCTTTCCTCCTAGTATTCACTGAAAATACTTACCTCTAAGTAAAATTTCTCTTGTTGAGTAAAATATTCTCTCTATATTTTGTTCAAAGAGGAGATTTTGTATTAATGTATCTGCTCACATTGTTTTTTTTCTAGAGAAAATCTCTTCATGAAAACAAATTGAAGAGACTGCAGGAGAAAGTAGAAGTCTTAGAGGCAAAGAGAGAAGAATTAGAAACAGAAAATCAGGTGTTAAATAGGTAATTGTATAAATACATCTCCCACATAGTGACATTATAGAACTTTGATACTGAGTACAATGCACTTTGTTTTCTTTTAAAATGTACTTTTTCATTGTTTCCTCTATAATGCACTTGTTTTCTTTTATGTTTAAAAGAATTCTAAAACTGTTGTACTCCTAATTCATTATCCTTATTTTTTTTTTTCTGGCTGAATGTTTCTTCAAACCAGAAGGTCTTTAACACATGCCAGGCATTTGTGTTATGGTTGGGACTGACAGGAAAGGTCACTGGCTTTGGTAGCCAGGAGTGGTGTGAGTTCTTGCTACTGAGACAAGAGAGTTGTAGCATTGCATAGTTCCAAAAATGTGTCTGGAATTTTGAATCAAGATTTTTGATTTCTTGTTGTGGAAAAATATTATTGGCCCAAAGCTTCTGGTTTTTCATTTACATACAAACATAGCTAATCTGCATGATGAGCATGTTTGAGCAGAGATGATTTGCCATATTAACTTAGTGGTAGTGGCATTGTATGACCTATTTGATTCTAGTTAATACAGACTTTTTAAATTCAGCTAATTTCAGTGGTAGCCTTCAGCATGAGAGAGTGTCAGACTTTTCTGAAATTGCCTATAATACCAAGCAGTGATGTTTTATTTAGAATGTGCACCTGTCTTCCTTGGATGTGATTGTTACCAAAATGTGAAAGTTGTTTTTCTGGAACACCTGAAGTTTATAGACTATGGAATTCATGCCCTTTCTTTTCTTTTTTCTTTTCTTTCTTTCCTTTCCTTTCCTTTCCGAACGGGAGAGTCGGGGGGAGAGCAGAGGGAGAGAGAAAATCTTAAGCAGATGGGGCTCAGTCTCACAACCCTGAGATTGTGACCTGAGTCAAAATCAAGAGTCAGATGCTTAACTGACTGAGCTATCCAGGGGTCCCAAATTCATGCCAGCTTTATAATACTCTGTTCCAAAGTAAGAAGCCACCAAATTTCTTTTAAATCAAAATTCAATTTCCTACCTCTTCTATAACCATTAATTTTGAAATATTATCAATATTATCAAGAATGGGCAGCCATGGCACTGATCATCTAGAACTCTGAGTGGTTTTGAAAACTGTATTTAATTAGTGGTGTGGTTGATGGTCAGGAAATTCATGTCCAAAAAGGTGATGGTATGTAAAGGCCTGAAAATTTTCCCCTAAAGTTGGTGGGTAGCTTCACCTTTGTCATTAGTTACATTTCTTTTTTAAGAATTATTTGAGAGAGAGAGATAGGGAGTGTGTGTGCGTGTGGGTGGGTTGGGGCGGGGAGAGGGAGAAAGAAACTTTAGCAGGCTTCTGCTCAGCTCAGAGTCCCATGTGGGCTTGATCTCCCAACCCTGAGATTATGACCTGAGCCGAAACCAAGAGTTGGCTTAAGTGCCACCTAGGCACCCCCATTAGCTACATTTTTAATAATTAGGTTGAACAACATGTAATTCCCTATATTGGACTATATTTTACCTATAAAAATGATAATTTCATAAGACTCAACCTACTATTTTCTCTATTTTCTACTTGATTCTTTCTATAAAATAAGGCACCCTTTTGGTTTAAGGAGTCTTTAGTTTCAGGATTCATGCGTTGGTAGAGTGGAATGGAAATAAAAGTATTGAAAGATTTTTAGTCTTTGATTAATCGGCAAATAAAACTTTAAAATGAGTTGATAGTTGGGCTGCCTGGGTGGCTCAGTTGGTGAAGCATCCACCTCTTGATTTTGGCTCAGGTCATGATCTCAGGGTCATGAGATCAAGGCCCTGAGTTGTGCTTCCCGCTTATTGGGGTCTGCTGGAGATTCTCTCTCCCTCTCTCCCTCCCCCTCCCTGCATGCGTGCACGCGCATGCATGCGCTCTCTCACCCTCTCTCTCTCAAATAAGTCTTTTTTTTTTTTAAAGATTTGATTTAATTTATTTGAGGGAGAGGGAGCACGAGCAGGGGGAGGGGCAGAGGGAGAAGCAGACACTGAGCAGGGAGCCCCTGGGATCATGACCTGAGCCAAAGGCAGACGTTTAACAGACTGAGCCACCCAGGCACCCTAAAATAAATAAATCTTTAAAAAAAAAATAAAAATGAGTTGAAAGCTTGCAGTGCTAACGGTAATATGATTAAGATGTCATATTTCTGTTTATTTTTCTAGATAGAGTTTTATGTATATATCATATACAGATAAATCTTACAATTTTGAAGTCCGTTTTCTTCCAGTTTGGAATTCTGTGAATCATACTGTTGTACAAAACAGTATAACTATTAAAGAATAGAAACACTTTTTTTCTTTTTTAAGACAAAACGTTCCATTTGAAGAATATACAAGGCTTCAAAAAAGACTAAAGGACATACAGAGAAGACATAATGAATTTCGAAGTTTAATTTTGGTTCCTAACATACCTCCAACAGCATCTGTCAATCCTGTTAGCTTTCAGTCATCAGCCATGGTTCCAGGCATGGACCTATCCTTTCCTCCTCATATGCAGGTATGAGCATTTATGTTTAAAAAAAAAAAAGGCACATTTCTGTAAGTTTTTACCTGTTTAAATTCAGAGTTAAAAACTCAAATCTTTCTTTACCATAGAAATTTGCTGGTGGAAGCAAAGTGGATTTGAATCTATTCTTTCCCTTAGTGATGGTGCTAGGAGTGAAATCTCCTGGGCAATTGAAAAGAAGAAACTTGATTGATGAGTCTTTGAGTAACCTAGAGTTTACAGCTCACTCGATTACTAACTACTACTGAGCATTTACTAATGCTCTGCATTATGCATTTTCCATACAATATTTAATCCTAATGGAAAATACTTTGAGGGAAGGTGTTGTTATTCCAATTTACAGATGAGGAAGCTGAGTCAGAGGTGGAGTGACTTGCCTAAGGTCATAGTTAATAAGTGACAGAACTGAGTGTCAAACCTAAATCTGATTCCAAATCCTGGGCTCGTTCTACTGTATTGTATTAGTTCCCTGAGATGTTGAAGGAATCAAATTGATGGGATGATTTTCCAAAAGATGAACTCTTAATAAGTAATTACATTTTATAATGTTATAAGCACCAAAGATTTTAGTCACTGAATTGAATCTGACCAAGTGCTTTGTTTATATTAAACTGCTATTAAACTCCAGCCTTGTTAGAACGTTGGCCTGTAAGCATTAGTATTTTCTGATTCACTCCCTGGTGAGTTTTATACCTAGATAGAACAGACTTTGGGATTTGCTGAAGGCTAGTGCCTGAGGCAGGAGAGAAGCGAGGACTAGTTAGTAGCTGGCCTGCACTGCTGTCTTCTCACTGCTAAAATGGTCATCCTTTCCGTGCCAGATGTTGCAGGCCCGAGTGAAAGAGCCGCTCAGGCTGTATTTTTCCAGCCATTTTTCTGAGTTTATTTTATTTTATTCTTTTTATTTTTATTTTATTCTTTTTCTGTGCTTTTAAGGAGGAACAGCATCAAAGGGAACTCTCTCTACTTCGCAAAAGACTAGAAGAACTAGAAACAACACAAAGGAAACAGCTAGAGGAACTTGGATCTCCTGGGGAATGATGTTCTTGGAGAAAAAGCAGATCAAAAGGGATGAAATCATTGTGACTCAATAAAGCTTGAAGTTTTAACATATGTGGCATTTAGATATTGTATTACCGTTTGCCAGGACATTTGTGCCTCAAGTAAAGGTACTGGCTACATGCTATATATTGCATCAGTGTCAGGATTTTAGGGTTATGCTAATGACAAGTGAAGCATTAAAACAGCTCCAGAGATATTTAGAATATTTATTGACAATCCTTTGAGAATGTTAAAAAAAAAAAGGATGAGTGAATTAGGGAATCAAGTTTTTAAATTATTTTCACTTTGAAATTTTTTGGCTTTTTTTTTTTTGGCATTTTGCCTGAAATATGCCTATGTTGAATTCGTTCTGCCTCTTTGAGATAGTTGGCAGTAATAGGGTCAGTAAACATTTTCCGGTTTATTATATACAAGAGTTCTCTAGTTCTTGAAAAAAGATGACTTAAAAGCATTAAAAAACAAAACTTGAAGATATATAAATATTATCAAATGCTACCGTTCTAAAAGCTGTGTGCAGAGCGCCTGGGTGGCACAGATGGTTAAGCATCTGCCTTCGGCTCAGGTCATGATCCCAGGGTCCTAGGATCGAGTCCCGCATCAGGCTCCCTGCTCAGTGCGGAGCCTGCTTCTCCCTCTCCCTCTGCCATTCCCTCTGCTTGTGCTCTTCTGTCTATCTCTCTGTCAAATAATTAAAGAGCTTAATAAATATTTTTCTTTATTGTCTTAATCTTGACCATACATTGTGTATTTAGCAATGTCACAGTCTCATTGTTATTTTCTATTCTAACCCAAAACCACAAAGTACAAATAAACCCGTGACCGTATAAAACAAGGGCCATTCGTTGTAAAACTTGAACCCCATGGGGTCCCTTAGAAATATTGTTGGTATTTAATGTTGCCTCCCACTGTTTTGGATCTAACCAAATTATTATAAATGTTTTATTTCTGTGTATCCCTAACCTCTTTTAAAGGAATTCTGCTGGAATAACTTCACGTCAACAAGGCACAGCTCAAGTCTGCCAAACTAAGTGGAATGTTCATTATCCAGAAGTCTTCAGGATCAAAAAGTCCAGGTAGATAGTGGAGGCCAGGGATGTAAATGAGCATTCCTTAGCATCATTTAGAAGAAACTAGATGTACTTACTACATACAGAGCTGCTTACTCACATTCGCGTTGGCACCTAGATAATTTCCGTGGAGCTACTTAGAATAAAAAATCTATTATAACTAGAACATTTGAAGGAAAAAAAAAGACAGTCCACATTTACATCAAAATGTTTATTTTTGGATATAGACATTTAAAACATTCATCTCCAAGTACAACTTCAATCAGGTATACAGTAAGAAATAGACTTTAAATCCCTAATACGGAAAAGGTAACAGAATTAATTTTTAAATGCTGCTGTAGACACTAGTGTTAGAAAAAAAAGTTTATAAATGGTTTGCACCAAAAAAATATGCAAAGAAACTTGAAAATAGAAATTGTTTGCCATTTATTTCTCTGGTTGCAGTTTAATATAGACCCAGTGACTGATTGTCTTCAGCACACATCTAATTTGGCCATTACTGCATTTGGCTAATGTGATCCAAAATGTGATCTAGATAGTGCTTTTCACTGGAGGATTGACAAACACGCTACATACATTAGTGAATCTTCACACCACCTCAATGAGGTAGGTTAGAAATATTAGAAATTGAGGCACAAAGAGGTAAGTGACTTGCCCAAAGTTCCCAGCAGCATCGTCCCTGCAAGAGGAGGTAAGGCTCCACATGGGACTCATGTGCCAGAGAGCTGGACAGGGACACCCTCATGTAGCATTTACTGAATACTTAAAGCTGTAGCTGATCCTTTTCTTAGCATTTCTGTACCCTAAAGAAGGGGAAGTTTTTTGGGCAACTCTCCTACCCTTGGCTCTCAACTGTCCTCCTGTTACTCTCTTATGAATGCCTTCACATCAAGACTGTAGCAGCCTTAGATGGGGACCAGACCTCTCACCTTTATACTTGTAAGTAACCTATTTGGTAGTATTTTTGAGGTGTGTCCATTGGACAGACAGTGGTCAAAAGTGACAGGATTGGGAAGGTGCCTATCAGGGTAATAACTGCTTATTTGATCATTTTGTTGAGGTATCACCTCTTACTCTTTGCCAGATACTGAGGAGCAAAAAGAATTTCATTTTCGAAGACAAATTCACATTTAAATCCTGATATCCCATACAACGTTGGTAAAAAGATTTTAAGGAATATATGATCAATGTTTTATTTGCTACTTGAAAAAATGTCTTTCCTTAATCTGGGATTTGGAACACCAAGGGTAAAAGGTGCCACAAGGAAGGTTGAGAGTTGCCAATTACATTTTTTACTTTTGATTTAATAGAAGGAAAACACAGTGGTATTAAAATTGGTCATGAGCAGCAAAAATTCAGGAATAAAAAAATCAATAAAAAGACTACAGTTACAATATAACTGGATAGGGAATTCTTTAAAAAGAAAGGTATGAATAAAATGGGTATTTTGAATTCTTTCTCTTGTGAGGAATACTTTCAAAAAGTACATAGTAAGACTAAGATACCAAGTTGTATACTAATATTTTTCAGGCCTTGGGCCTCAAATATATATATTCATATATAGTACTCCAGTGTGAACAGCAATTTCATGAAATGTAAAATGTATTTTTTTTTTTTTTAAATCACACACAAGTATTTATAACCACAGGGTTCACCAGAAATCTAAAGCAAGGAGACACCAAGTATAGAAATGTAGGATTAGGGGAGGGAGTTACTCTTCTACAGATAGTTCTGATCAAAGTTTTTAGACAGAAATAAACTAATGATGTTTTGTTTTGTTTTACAATAGCCAACATGTCCACTATCAAATACATTTAGTATGAAAAAATGAAAAAAAGGAACACATCAGGACAAAGTGGGTAAAATGCTGTTGCATTTAAATAAAGCCTCCTCACTCTCCTTGCTTTAGAGCTCCTTCGTGAGATGGAGGTGAGTTGATGGAGTGCAGTTGGCGACCACTGAAAAACACGAGCCCTTTCAACAATGTTGCAACACTGTCAGTTTTTGGTTTAAAAACACACACACACACACACTCACGAATGCTAAGTGTACACACTACCAAATTCTGTGGTCAGCTTTTCCAAGAACTACTGGGGAAAGTTTCAATGCTGCAAATCCTCGAGGTTGCCCTAACACTCCCACCTTGTTTCCAAATGACTCATTTCACATTTTCTTGTGATCACTGGCAGTGTCCCTTTTCTGCAGAGGTGCAGTGTAGTCACAAGTGCTACATAACTGTAGTTTTCAGACACAAAACCACTGCTGTCATTGTGCTTAAGTGAAGACTGTAGTTAACTGACACTTGCTTACTGGCCCTGTATTCTCTGTAAACAAGGAGGCTGTTTGCAACAACCACTTCGACTCTATTTACAGAAAGGTTCCCACAGTATATGCACAGGCACAGTGGTTGGTATGCTTTCTAAAAGCTGTGCATGTGCCTTGGTCTCTAAAAGACAGTGCTCAAAGTGGAACCTATGTGCAAACTTTAAAAATTAACGACACAGAGTAGCTCAAGCAGCCATTTTGCTCCCAAGTTGTCTGAAGAATTTTGCCAGATTAAGCCAGTCCCCAGAGTGCTTACATCCACTTGCATTTCTTCTTTTCATCAAATAAGACTTTTACATGCAAGAGTTGTTTCTGAGCTTCTTCCAGCCCTCGTTCTCTTTCTAGTTTATTTAGAATCTGTTGACAATTAGAACAGTTATTTTAGATATTGTGGTTTTAGCATTACAATTCTGGGGGTTTTTTTGCATTCCTGATGCTGTGAGTGGTAAAATCTGTATGAAACAGATGCCAACGTTTTCTTCAATCATTTACATACTCACTTTGCAAGTTGTTTTGCTAAGTCATTATCACAGGATCAACAACACTTTGGCTTAAAATAGAAGCTAGCAAGAAATACCAACTATTTGCTTACAAATATGGGGCCAGACTTCCAAGGCCCTATTTTATGCATTATGTCACAGCCATTCCAAGCACAGCAAGCATTCTGAGCAGCCAACATGCAGGCAAGTATTTCTTCTTAAATGCAGCAGGCAGGGGCATCCTGGTCAGAGTTGAATATTGCCCTCCCCTCCCCTCCTGGGCAGTGTAGTGCCTCCTCTCCCCTCCCCTGCCCTCCCCAGTGTTTCCCTTCTAACCCCTGGCCCCTGGAAAGAGGGATGCTTATCATGTTTAAGGAACTCATTGCCTCTACCCTACCTTAGCGCTTCACTTGATCTTCAAGTAGCAAATGGAATTGGTGAGCTATTCTCACCATTGACATGGATAGCCTGTCCCAGCATGACTGAGTGGGGGGGAATCAGGGAAGGGGAATTAACATATATTTGGAAACAGCGCATCTGATGACTGAGTCTGTGTGAATTCCCAAAGAAAAAAATCCAGATTAAGGAGAATTAATCATAAAGGAGAATGGTTTATTGAAATAGTTGCTTAAGTTAGAAATAATGTTATACTTTCATATACCTATCGAATACAGAATCTAGGCAATTTAACAAGCTTAGCTTTCATTTTAGCAGATTACAATCAAGCATAAGCTGGCCCTATTTAATAGGACCACTACTTATTCATCAAAGTTATCCTGAGTCAGTGTGGCTACAGACCCCATTAACACCAATGTAAATTCAGGCTGGTCCAAAGGTGGGCAGCATGATAAAACTAGAAGAGGGGCAGCCACAGGCAGGGTCTGGCTTGGTGCCAGGATCCCCCATCTCAGACAGGCTTCCTGGCTTCCCTTTCTGGCCATTAGGGATGCCAGAGCTGTCCTGAGACCTATAGAACGCTTGACAACCAAATCCTGGTGACTGACTCATATCAATTTTTTAAAATGTTATTTAAAATCTTACCTCATCAAAATATTTTACGATGTATTTGTAGATTTCTGTCAAGGCCACTTCTTCATTAAATTCATTTTCATGTTTCTTAAAGAAAGAGAGTCTTGTTTAGAGATTCTGAAATGACTTTTTAAAAAAGAAGTAACCAAATATTATCTTATTTCTACTTTTTTTTTTTTTTTTTTAAGAGAGGGAGAGAATCTTAAGCAGGCTCCACATCCAGCGCGGAGTCTGATCCCAGGACCCTGAGATCATGACCCGAGCCAAAATCAAGAGTCAAAAGCTGGGGGCGCCTGGGTGGCTCAGTCGGTTAAGTGTCTGCTTTCAGCTCAGGTCATGATCCCAGGGCCCTGGGATCGAGCCCCGCATTGGGCTCACTGCACAGCAGGAAGCCTGCTTCTCCCTCTCCCTCTGCCTGCCACTCTATCTGTGCTATCTCTCTGTCAAATAAATAAATAAAATCTTTTAAAAAAAAAAAAGTCAAAAGCTGAACCAACTGAGCCACCCAGGCACCCCTCTTATTTCTACTTTCTAACAATACCTTAGATTCCTGAGTTAAGAATTCTTCCATTTCTGAAGATGACAATGGAGGCAAATCCCTGATTGCTTTGTAATACGATTTTACTTCCTCTTTGTAGGTTGGGATATCCTTGGCATAGAGAAGTTTATTAGTTGGTGCTTCCTGAAAAATAGAACAGCCATGGGGCATTTATAACAGTACTAGTGTAGCTGAACCTCCATTATTACCTCCTAGTAACAAAGCTTTTTCATGCAGTGGGCCTTCATAAATGTTGTTGACTGAATGACTGACTGCTATATAGATAGTTCTGGTGAGTCACTATTCTTTTCAGGCGGATTAAATGCTAATACATTCTGCCTTCCTCATAAAAGAACTAAAATTATTTTTGCATGATTTTGAGTTACTGTAACAATGGAACTTACTTCAATCATAGTTCATTACTAATGGTTGTAAAAAGCCTGAATTAAAACATTTGCTCTCATCCTCACCCACCAGTGAATTTTGGCATTTATGAAAGACTTGATTGTAGGTCTGATTGAGCCCTTTATATAACCATGAAAGTGGTAAGTAATTGGCAGTGGTGGATTTTTCTGCTTGTCCCTTTTATTAGATTATAAAGATCTTCTACTGTTCTCAAGGAAGTACATGGTCATTAGTATTGGGGGCTCTAATGTCTGATTTCACAAAAGTTCCCTGTCAGCTTGAATGTTTTTATGTAATTATAATAGTGATAATACTAAAAATTAAGATTTTATTTTTAAAAACCATTTTTCACAAAATTTTTGGAATTCCTACTCAGGGAAAATGGGTGAGTTAATGATAGGGCTAATGTCCCAGTACATTTTTCAATGTATTGAGGACACGAATAGCCATATCAGTGGCTGCATCATTCTGAAGGATGCCTACATGGAGATATTACTGAGATTCTTTGTCAAGTTTAAGTAGAATCCACAAATCATGTGATCATGCATTAATAAAATTTATTTAGCTTGGCAGTGTGGCAGACATTGAATGTAAAAAGGTAAAGACCAGTACCTGCCTTTGAGAAGCTTATAATCTAGTTCAGAAGACAAACTTACATAGTGGTTACTATGACACCAATAATTAGTAGCAGGGTGTAAAGAAAAGCACCGTGGAATTGGACAAATCAGGGATCCTAACAACTTTGAGGGATCTTAACCAAGACTTGTAACTTCTCAGAAAATCAATTTCTTCATCTATAAAATGAAGGTAATAATAACTACCTTATGTGGTTCTTGTGATGATTAAGTGAAATATACCAAGAACACACAGTAATGAGTTAACAGTAATTTTTTTACTGTGAATAAGGAAGCATTTTAGTGTTTCATTGCATGGGTCAAATGAAGAACCGGGGTGGGCAATGTATAGGGAAAAAGTTCACGGAGTAGGTATATTTAGACTGATCATAGCCTCCTACAGTTTCTGGTACACATTAGGAAGTTGTGTTTGTGGAGTGAATGAATGAATGGTTTTACAAGACAGAGGGGTTATGAGACAGGAAAGGGATATGAAAACAAGTTCATGGTAAATTTGGGAAAAGTAAAAGCTGTAGCATAGAAGGTATATGGACTTTGCCAGAAAAGAGACTTGACACCCAATCAGGAAGGGCCACGTGGCACTGTGAAGATTTTACCTGGTAGGTAATGGGAAGTATTTACAATATTTAAACAGGAGACTGAAAAGATCAGATTTTTGTTTTAGAATGACAACATGAGACACAGTGAAAAGGAAAAGGTAGGGGAGAGGGGATGAGGGGATAGGATAGAATGAGAAAAAAAAAGACATTTTGGAGATGGCAATGAGTACTAACCAATTAGGGTAAGGGAGGAAGAAGAAGGAGTCAAAGATAACCCAAAGGATTTTACCTTGAGAGACAAGGTGATGCTAGGAAGACAAAAGTAAAGACAGGTTTGTTTTGCAGAAATAGTGGTGATATTAATAGATTCAGACTAGGATGCTGAGGCATCTATGAAACATCAACCACATTTCATTCCATGCACTCTCTCAATCCTTACACCAAAGGGACACTACTCAGTATTAAAAGATTTTTTGAAATCCATTAGGTACAGCTACTCCTCAGTTTAATACATTTTGGAGTGCTTGAATAAGACCAAAACATCCCTTTCAAAGTCTGCTCTGTATTTTTATCTTTCTTTGATTTCCTGGGGCTTTTGCTCAGCAAAGAAAGCCAAAAGAAAAACAATATCGATGTTTTGATTATGAATTGATAAACTGGTGGTGATAGAAATCTCAGGCAAGATTTTCTTCCCCATGAGCAACTTGTTATATTCAGATAGACTCTTAGGTGTACAGTTGACCCTTGAACAACATGTTTTTGAACTATGTGGGTCTGTTTTACTCTTTGTGGAGTTTTTTCGACATAGTACTGTAAATACATTTTCTCTTATGATTTCCTTGATGTTTTCTCTAGCTTTAAGAATACAGTGTATAATATATATAACATATATAAAGTATGTATTAATGGACTATTTATACTAACAGCAAAGCTTCCAGTCAGCAGTAGGCTATTAATAGTTAAGTGTTGGGAAAGCCAAAAGTTACAGGGTAATTTCGACTACATGAAGGATTGGTGCCCATCATCCCCCATTATTCAAGGGTCAACTATATTCAGATGGGATTAATTTGCTAAGCAAATTTCAGTAGTTTCATAGTTTAGTACTGCCTGCAGAATGTTTTTCTAGGAAACAAAATTTATACTTTTTGTGGTAAAGGTATCACAGGCAGAGTTCTGCAGTAGGATGGGGAGAATAATTTTTTTAACTAGATGAAAAATAAATGAGAGCTTTTAAAGAAAAGCAAATTTTCAGTTACTACCACTGACTATTTCTTTTTAGCTGCTATGGTTTTTTGTTTGGATGTTTACAAGAAAGAATGCTTCAGACTCACAGGAGTACATAGAAGAAATACTAAAGCTAGGCCTTACCTTCCCGAGTTGCTGCTCTGTGAGAGAAAATGCGTCCATGAATGCCTGGGCAATCACAGATAAACAGCCGTCTATGTGTGGTGTCTTCTTAATGTCAAAGACAAACTGAGGGTTCTTCAGGATGTTTACCCAGAAGCGAAGAGGAAGGCTGTTGAAGAGAAATCTCTTTTCAGATACAGCCCTTCGTAGGAGGCAGATGCTCTCTTTATCACAGTTTGTAAATGGGTGTTTTTGCCCTTGTTATTGAAGTATGCAAGTCTGCTTTGCCAAATATACCAAGTGACAGATGGCAGCATCACTCAGAACAAGAAAGGGTTAAACAGACAAGCGCTGCTGGATGGGAGGACTAGAAGAGGAGAAACGCGAAAGTGACCACTGACGAGAATTTTCTCCACATAGTTTTCAATTGTGTTAGATGATGGCTACCCATGAAAACATTTCATCATGTCTCCAGACCTTCACCTCTTCTCACCCCCTCTAAGTGCTACATCCTGGCGTAAGGCACCGTCGCCTCTCACCTGGGTTATTAGCTCCCTAGGTCCCCACAGTTAATTCTCCCACAACTACCAGCAATCTTCTTAACCTGGTGTCAGATCATGTCTCTCCTCTACTCAAAACCCTCTGTGTTCTCCCTCCGCCTGGGGATAAAGCCACTGCATGGTCTGGGCCCAGGCCCCCATCTGCTACTTTTCCCCTTATTCCTTCTAACTCCACCATTGGCCTCTTCACTGTTCATGCATACCAGGCAAGTGTGTGCCTCAGAGGACTTTTGATTTTGTTGTCCATCTTCCAGACATTATCTTCAACCAGACAGTCTCATGGTTTATGCCCTCACCTCTTTCAAGACCTGACTTGAATATCCTCTCCGTGAGGCCTCCTCTGACCACTCTGCCCTATTACTCTCTATCCTCCTTTCCCACCTTGTCTGCTGTACTAACCTAATATCCTATAAATCACCTATTTATGATCTCTTCCACCCATTAGAATGCAAGCTCTGTGTGAACATGGATTTTTGTCTATTCAGTTCATTGCTATATTTCCACTACCTAACAGTGCTTGGCACAGAGTAGGTACTCAAATATTTGAATATGAACTTGGGAATCATTCAGAGCCCTTCCATTATTATCTCTTTCTCAGCTCTGGCCTAGCAAACTACCTGCATCATAAAGCCGTTGGGCCTCTCCATAGCTCTACTCTCCTGACTACTGCCCCTGGTCAGATGCCACAATCTTCCCAGTGAAATGGGTGCTTGCAGCACCCAAGCTTGGTGTGGGAGTAGCAGGACCAGGGAATCAGAGCCTAGAGCACAGGATGGCAGTGAGGCCTGTGTAGATAGTTGGGACAGACCTGGATTAAATGGGAGAAGATGAGACCTAGAGCTCTGGAACTTCAGCTTTTAATATTTATTTAAATTGGTCTGCCCACCCTCAGTGCTCAGGAGGGCTTGAGATTGCATTGGAAACTTCTATTACACCTTAACACCGAGTCTTATTCACAGCTCACGCACAAAGTATTTCAAATAGAGGTAATGAGCCATGTTTCTTTACTGAGAAGAAGTTGAGAAGAGACCCAGATGCCTTGCCTTAGCTTTAGATAAAATGTTAGAAAACAAAACACAGTCCTTTGGCAAATTCTCATGGTATCTAAACACTGCACTTGATCACATAAAAACAGAAATGTCCATGCAGAATCAGAGTATAGACAGCTTGGTAACTGCAAAATGATTAAGTACTCTGTAATGGAAAACTGTATAATAAAACCACAAAATACTGATTTCTTTTGCTGGTCAAGCTAAATTTAACATTCCACATAAGGTATTTTTCACGCATTAAAGATAATAAAGTTTGTTTATTTTATCCTAAAGAATAGGATCTCAGCATAGGAAGGGTTTGTTTCTTATTTAAAAATAGTAACAGAGGAAGAATCTGCTCTGACCTGATAGCTTACCACGCCAAAAGATTCTGATCTAGGGATAATGAATCCTGTGACTATCCATGCCCTCCTTTCAGTTAAGATTCTGTCCCAGATTCTGAAAATAGTAATCACCTACTGTTTGTTCCTACCTGTTTGTTTTCCAAATATGTACGACATCAGGATCTGTGATTTTTTTGTTTTCAGCTTGGGCATCCAAAAAGTCAAAAAAGTATTTTATAGCAAATGGGGCTTTGCTGTTGGGTAAACTCCAAATGCTTCTAAAAAGTTTCTCAAGCACAGAATGAATTGCCACCTGAAAGAGAACATCAGACTTGGGAGATTTAAAAAAAAATTTTTTTTTTGAATACAATGGAAAATGAAATCCCAGTTCAGAGAAAATGATGTATATAAGAGAAAATATGTCAAATTATCAAATGAGGCCAACACTCACAGTATGGGACAAGGGCCCTGAAAATCTATGCCCAGGTTTACATTTGGTTCATCAGCTTCTTGCTGATAACAAGACTGTTTAGTCAACAGAGAGGATATCTTAGAAAAATCTCTAGCAGTTGAAATGTCAATTGTAGGGCTGTATACAGAAACCAAGATGCCACGGATGTTTAGCTTTTATTGGTTATGTTCAGCATGGAAAAACTCAACGTTGCTCAGTTCCCTGAATTTTTTCGTTGCATGTATTTCCATTATAGGTTTTTATTATGTACTTTCCAAAATATTTGAGTCTTTTACAAAAGCCAAATAGTCAGAGCTCTCTGGGACAGAGGAGAAAATCAAGAGCTCTGGCTGGCCCCTGTACACTAAACAAATCTACTGAGCTCTAAGCATACCCTCTGCTATAATCTGAAGATGCATGCCCATCAGGAGACCAGGGCCAGGTGTAGATAATAGCATTTATATTGCTAGTCATTTCAGGAAAAAAAAAAGTATCACCACAGACTTCTGTTAATCCCACTACAAGCCAGATAAAGTAAAATTTGCTTCTGATTTGGTATTCCATCGGCTTTTACATCTGACATTTTTACAGATGAACAGCATCCTTAACTTTAAAATGGGGAAAAAAAAAAAGATTTACTAGGTTTATAGTCACTGACCCCACCCTTCATTTATTTGCAATTCAGAGGGAGTTTTATTGCTCATCTATAATAACAAGTAAACAAAAAAGTAATTATGCCATCAACCTAAAAAATAACAATAGTGAAATGGTAGGTAAAGGGATTGGGAACAATATTAAATCCCTGATTGAAGACACAACAGTCAAAATTTGTAAAGTACTGTTATCTTCGTCATTTATAAAAAGAGGGTAGGAAGTGTTTACAATTTAAACTTTCATTTTGCTTTGCTAGAAGGCACAAGGGATTTGTAACATTTTCACACTTCAGTGGAAATTAAGTCAAACACATCATACACCCCCAAGGTAGCCATAAAAGCACTCCCAGAACAGTAAGTGTACCTTGGTCGACAGCAGCTTTGTCAGATACATTTCTTTTACTTTGAACTTGTGTTTTCCTCGATGTCTTTTTCCTTGCACATCTTGGAATGCTTCGGAATCTGGTAAAATCTAACGGGAAGACAGTAGAAGCGTTACCCACGGAGACCGTTCGGGCTACAGAAGGCATCCAATTCAGGGGCAAGCACAAGAAAGCCTGAACTCACCAAATGGCAGTGGTCTTCTGAGTATTCCACATCTGAACACCAGAGAAAGGGAGAGAAAACAGTCTATTAAAAAAACAACCACGGGCTAATTGGCCTTCTCATAAAATGCCCCATTTGTGCTATGAACAGAAGAGGTTACTCGAGCTCTTCCACTTGAGCTCTTCATAGCTACATTTTTTTTTCACCCTGCTGCGTGTTAAGATCTTAACAACGTGAAGACAGAATGGGCCAGGGCCTGGAGTAGGAAGCAGGTTTGCTGGGGGTGGGGTAGGAGAGGTTCAAGCCTTATTAACAAATGCACCCGGGGCACCTATTGAGTGCCAGGGGCTCCCAGGCAAAAGGTAGTGATAAGACAGACCTAGTTCCCTTCAATGGCGTTTACATCCTAGCCGATGAGAAACTTTCTATGACTAATTATACAGTTATTTACCTGGAATTGTGATAAGGCTTATGAAGAAGTATATGCTAAGAAAGTAACTAACGAGGGTCCAACCTACTCTGGGAGGTTTCTCAGAGGAAGGGATGTTGGAGCTGAACTTAATGACTGGAGTTAGCCAGGCAAATGGAGGAGACCCTAAGGCGGGAAGAACTGACGCCCTCCTGGGATCCAAAAGAAGGGCAATGAGTTGGAGCTCCCAGAGCAAGTGCGAGAGTAGCACAGAGTGAGGACAGCCCTGAAAGCAATGTGGCAGTAAATGGGAGGAAAAGAGGGATTAAGGCACTAGGTTTTTTGTATTGAAGATGAGGGAGACTAGAACACCTTGAAACACTAAGGAAAAAACTGCAGTAGGCAGGGAGCTATAGAAAGTTTAGGGGAGAGAAGATTATCTGTGGTGTAAGAATGTGTGGAAGGTTGGAAAGAATGAGAGACTGGCCTTGGACATGAGGAAGGAAAACCCTGGAATGCCAGGGGAGCCACAGAGGAAGAAATGGGCAGACACAGGTGGGGTGGGAGGTTTGGTGCTGGACGTTGAGGGAGTTGTGACTCCTGTTTTCTCTGTGAGGTGCAGGATCAAATCAGCTGCTGATAGAGCTGTGTGGGTCAGAGAGCTCTGAGGAGAGAAGGTAGAATTCTGGAGAACACAGAATGAGTTACCTAGAGAAATAGTGGGTGTAGGCTGCATTGAGGGTCCCCCGTCATGTGGGCACCATGAATTTATAATAACTCCAATCGTACTTTCCTCCAGTGGCTGCCTGGGTATAGTTCAGAAAAGGCCAGTAGTTGGGTTCATCTAGGGCTGGGGTTGTGACTGAGACAGTAGTGAAAGGGAACAGGGGCAGGAGGTTTGAAGGGTTAGCAGGGGAGTGATCAAAATGATGGTTCTCAGCTGAACTGGACAGGGAAGAAGCAGAGGCATTGACTGCCCTAAGGTCCCATGAAGAAATCCAAATGCAAGATCCCCAAAGAGCAAGCTCTGCCAAAGGCCTGATCTTTGAAGCTTAAAATACAAAGCTCTTCCACTTTTTATAACACAAGGACACCAATTCCCCTATGCCAGAATGACCATCACCCTCTGCAAGATGCCTTCTCTCACTATAGCCAGATGTAATGATGGACTGGGGGGGTCCCCAAAAGGGTGTCCTACAACCTGCCAAATTATCCTTTCCATTTAACTGGAGTCCCTGCATTCCCTGTTTGCACTGACTAGGTCTTGGGACCTACCAGGCTGCCCTTAGTATTGAATCCAGGAATCAGGAAGCCTCCCCTCCGGTTGTGTGTGTGAGAAGTCCTGTCGGTGAGGCCCAGAACCCTTCTAAGGGCTGAGGACTGATTGTCTTGGCTGGGGTATGATTTCTCTGGAGACCAACCTGAACCAGGATCTAGGGTTTTTCTCAAGGCACCATCACAATGTTTTCTTGTCCTGAGGCTATCAGGGAGGTGGTAGAGAGTTTAGAGACTAGCTTATAGACTTTCCCATAAAAGCTCCCCATTTGGTTTGTCTCGATCACTTTCTGGGAATTTTGCAGATGCTATCAAAGGAGATTTGGATTTCTAAGTAGATTATCTTGTTTGTTCAGCACTTGCAGGGCTGTGTGACTATCTACAAACTTTCCTCTTAGTTTGCCAGAGGGGTCTCCTCTATTAGCCCCCATTCTACTGAGGAGTTGTCACAGAGCGAGGAAGGCTGAGATTCTGTCCTGAGTTTAGGGCTGTCAAGAGGCAGCAACTTCCTTAGTACTGGGCAGTCCCGGCCAACTGCTCTTTACTGTTTCCTGTCTGCCTCCTTGCAAGGCTTACATTTTTAGGAACAGAAACAGATCAAATGGCTTTTCTCCGATTTCAGAGAATTACATAGCAACAACTCAGTCTCACCTTTGTGACAATACACCTGAGAGAGGCAAAAAGCGATACTTTAGAAAGGTGGGTGAGATCAAAAGGTTAACATTATATTGGTTACCTGAAGGAAAATTTGCTATCTTCTTAAAGACCTTTATAGTGGATCCATTTGATATCTGAAAGCAAAGATAAAAAATATATGAGTTTTCAAAATTTAATGTATTTCTCAACTTCATCCAGGAATTAGATCGCTGGATGGATCTTACATTCTCTCACTTATTAAATATTTATCAAGAAATTCTGTGTTCTGGGCATGTGCTGGAGGCTGGGGCTGTAATGATGACCAAGACACTATCTCCACCCTCAAGGAGCTCACAGTCCTGTGGAGGAGATGGACAAGGCAGTGAGGTGTAGTGAGGCTGGGAGAGGGAGGCCAGGGTCTTGGGGCCAATGGGAGGTGGGCCAGCCCTGGAGGAGGGGAAGATGAGGCTGGGCTAGGATGTACCCCAGCCTCTCAGAGGTCAAGAGAGGCTTGGGCCACTAACTTTTTGAGGTTCCTACTATATTAAGAAATGCTGAAACAGGTGTTCAAAAACTGTTATCTAGAGCAGGTGTCTAATCCTATGACAGAGCAATTTCACATCTAGATATATGCCCAACAGAAAGAAGTACATATCCTGATAGTTAACTATTTGTAATTGCCCCATATTGGAAACAACCAAATATCATCAATGAATAAATAACTGGGAGTATGTCCATACCACAGAATATAGAACAATGGAAGTGAGCAAATTATTTCTACACACTACATGGGTAAACCTCATAATGATAATACCGAGCAAAAGAAGCCACACAAAGGAATGTATACTGTGTGATTCCATTCACATAAAGCTAAAAAAAACCTAAGTGAACACAAAAACAGTCAAACTACAATGTTAGATATTTGCAGGAGAGAGAGGGGTTAGGGACCAGGAGGGGACTTCTAAAGTACCCATAACGTTCTACTTCTTGACCTGAGTGGTAGTTAACAGGACGTGCTCACTTTGTGATCATTCATCCAGCGGTACACTTATGATTTCTTCTCTTTTCTGCAGCTATATCATATTTTTAAAAAGGAGCTTTTGAAATAATAAGAATTGCATATACTTTTAAATAAAAACTTTAAAATTTAAGTATAACTTACAGGAAGGCACTTAATGTTCACTAATATTAAGTGTGCAGCTCAATGTTCATTTAAATAAATACCTATATAAGCACTACCCACATCAAGATATAAAATATTTCAAGGTCCCAAGAAGTACCCCGTTATCTCCTCCCAGTCAGTAACCACTGCATCCTCAGCCAGAGGTAATCACTGGTCTGACTTCCATCTGTTCTTGAACTTCATTTATAAATGGAATCATATAATACAGCTGACACTTGAACAACATGGGGGGTAGGTGGTACTCCCCCCCCCCCCCCGCACATTTGAAACTCTACATAGAACTTTTGATTCCCCTAAAACTTAACTGCTAATAGCCCGATAGGAAGCCTTACCAAGAACAGTTAACACATATTTTGTATGTTTGTGTATTATATACTGTATTCTTGCAATAAAGCTAGAGAAAAAATATTAAAATCATAAGATACATTTATAGTATCTTATGTATTTTATTTATTGAAAAAAATCTGCATGTAAGTGGACCTGCACAGTTCAAACCCGCATTGTTCAAGGGTCAAACTGTATAAATATATTCTTATGTCTGGCTTCTTAGGGTCAACATAAGGTCTGTGATGTTTATCCATATTGTTGCAGCTACCAGTAGTTCTTTCTTTTAAAATTACTTTGTATCATTGCATTGTATGAATATACAAAAAAACTGCCATACAGTAAAAAGGAAGTATTGATACATGCTACAACAGGAACCTCAAAAACAATATGCTAAGTGAAAGAAGCCAGTCACAAAAGACCACATATTGTATGATCCTATTTATATAAAATGTCCAGAATAGACAGATTTATACATACAGAAAGATTACTAGTTGCCTAAAGCAGGGGTCGGAAGAATGAGGAGTGACTGCTAATGAGTTCAAGTTTCTCTTTGGGGTGATGAAAATGTTCTAAAATTAGATTGTGGTGATGATTGCACAACTCTGTAAATGCACCGAAAACCATTGAATTGTACATTTTAAAAGGTGACCTTTATGGTATATAAATTATATCTCAATAGAGCTGCTAAAAAAAATTGCCACAGATTTTAAATTCACACATTTGACAAATAAATGCTTTTACCACACTGACACACTATTGCAATGCCCATGCATACCCTCTTTTGTCAATAAAGTCAAGAGTTCTCACCTGAGGCCTTTTGGAAAGACTGTGGAACCCAGTGCCAAATGGCCCTCCAGTGCAGCCCTCCCCTACAACCAACCAGGAGAAGAAGCACCCTTCAGGCCAAGGGGACTAGATGCTAAGATGCAGAGGGCAGCCCTCACTGTTCTGAGGGGCTAAGTCCACAAAAATTTAAGACAAAGGGGCCTTGAGGAAGAGGCAGGTCAGGGATACACAAATCCTTGCCTTCATTCTGGGATTGTGGAGGGAGGATTAACGCCTTCGCTTTAGAACACTGTCAGCTCAGTGCTTTTCCCCTCCATTCTCAAGTTCTAATACTACTTTGGACCCAGCCTTCCCCAGCTGGGAAAAAAGTAGAAACCTAGAGTTTCTCCTCTGGCCTGCTGCACATTTTGTTATCAGAATGTACAAACCTGCCTAGCAAGCACCAAAGGATTAAAGCCGAATCTCCTTCAGGTTGCACCCACAGAGGAAGGAACACAGAGGAGAGCCAACCCTGCAGAGACGCCCCGAGCGAAGCGGTCCAGCCAGCTGTGTCTAGCCACCTGCTACCTTGAGGCCAGAGGCCCCCAACCGCTGGGGTTCATGACATCTCGGAGGGAGCGGGAGTACTGGGCGGGGGCTGGCTGGGCCATCAGGCCTCCGACAAGTGTCTCCAGCGTGGATTCTGAACTCTCACTGAATTCTGTTCTGCTGTGATTGCCAAACATCCTTTCCTTTCCCCTTGAGCCATTCGTTGTTTTCTGGTTGATTTTTCCATTCTCCTCCATATTGGATGCAAGTAAACACTCAGCACAGGCACTCCCTTAGCAACATTCAGACACCAAGTTTATGAGAATGTTTGAACAGCGTTACGAAGTCCCTCCCCATGAAGAGCTGGATATGCTCGGTTTCTAAGCCAATAAGTATCTTTTTATAAAAGGAAGCTGGTGATTCATTCTGGGTAATTGTCAAAGAATGAATCCCAAATGGATCCTGTTGAGTGTTGAGCCAATACTCCACTACTGTCAGATGCTTTGTTTTGCTAAACGTGCTCACCCTTACTCTATAATCACAACCACCACGGATGGGCCTTCCCGATAAGGAGTGCTGCCAAAAGTTCAAATGTCTTTTCAAGAGCTGGCAACGACTCACTGCTGGCGCTGAGCTCAGGCACTGGGAGAGCGCAGACGCAGCTTGTACCAAGGAAATTCTACTCTGAAATTATCTCCCAAGAGCAAGTGCAAAAGCATTTTATTAGTGGGTGAGCTGTGTGTGTGTCTGAGCCTGTGTGTGAAGTGTATTTCTAACTTTCACAGCTGCTCTCCGGCTGGAACACCCACCCCCCGCCACGTGACACTAACTCCGTTGTAAGACAGAAACTAGTTTATTTACAGATGTTGGGGACAGGGTGGGGGGGAAGGTTTCCATTTTCTATTTTGCATAAGTCAGCTCCTGCCCAGTTAAGGACAGAAATGCCTTTTTGAAAAGTGCCACAGAACCTAAAGTGTTAAAAGTATGATGCTGTTTGTTCCATCTGAGGAGCTCTAAATGCTTTCCTAAGAGGGACTCATTAATCCTCCTGTACTCCTGTGAGGCAGGGAGCATCCTCTGGACCCCTACTTTAGGAATGAAAACCAAATTAAATCAAAGAAAGATTAATGTCACTAGATGGATCTGCGGCAGGAATGTTTCTCCAGCCAGAGCAGAACTGGTAACACAGGGCAATTTCAAATTAAATTCCTTCCAGTCTCACAGTGCTCCACGATTCAAGGAGACAAGAAGGCTATACCCCTTCAATGATGACTGGCCCATGTTGGAACAGGGTGGAGAAAACTGTAGACTCCTCCATTACCAGCATTAGGAACTGTGACCACACAGGGCGAAAAGGACTCATGTCAACAATGTAAATCACTCCTGAAATAAACAGAAGGTACATATCCTCCAATGTGCAAGTGAAGGTGGGATTTCTGTGGCATAGGTTGAAGAAAATTCCATAAAAATAGATTTTCTACATATATAAGATGGAACTTCTATTTAACCTTACAAAACTGCCATTTTTGTATATTAAAATGGTCTAATATTGGTAATTTCATATTGTTTAGCCTAAGAGAAAAGCTGGAATTTGAGCCTAAGAATTCTATGGAAAATTATGAAATACTGTGATACTTTTTTTCTCAAAAAAAAGGAAAACAGAGTAACCAATACAAATCACCATGTGGAAACCCTTACCAGTATCTCTCATTCCTAAAACGTATTATATGAAAACAGAAATTTAGGGCGCCTGGGTGGCTCAGTCAGTTAAGCGTCTGCCTTCGGCTCAGGTCATGATCCCAGGTCCTGGGATCGAGACCCACATCGGGCTCCCTGCTCGGCGGGAAGCCTGCTTCTCCCTCTCCCACTCGCCCTGCTTGTGTTCCCTCTCTTGCTGTGTCTCTCTCTGTCAAATAAATAAATAAAATCTTAAAAAAAAAAAAAAAGATTCGGGTGCCTGGGTGGCTCAGTCATTGAGCGTCTTGCCTTCGGCTCAGGTCATGATCCCAGGGTCCTGGGATCGAGCCCCGCATCGGGCTCCCTGCTCCGCGGGGAGCCTGCTTCTCCCTCTGCCTGCCGCTCTCCCTGCTTGTGCTCTCTCTCTCTGACAAATAAATAAAATCTTAAAAAAAAAAACAAAAAAAAAACACAGAACTTTATTCAACTAGCGTTGTCCCTGCGACCACTCAGCAATTCTGCTCTCCCCGCCTATCCCCTTAGCTCTTCTCACTGACACGCCAAAGCTGGAGGCAAATGAAAAAGAATCTTATTTCGCCGGGCCAGAGGGATACCCTTGCTCAGTCCATTAGCAAAGGAGGCTCAGGGCTCATCAGAGCGTTTGGAAGGGACCCATCAGAACATTCTCAACACACAAATCACACGTGCGGTTTTTGACACCCAAGACAGAACCCCAAAGGATTCTTGAAACTAGTTAAAATGCCAGTAGGGCTCCTGCTGCTTCTTTGGGTACTTGGAATTAAGCCTGGGCCAGTAGCAGACTCCCTCTGAGGACCATTAGAGAGAACCCTAACCTTGTCCCCTGGGAGCGAGTCTGGCCTCCAGGAGTATGCCTGAAATTGGGAACCTAAGCGCTCCCCTGCTTCTTCTTGGGCTCTTGGATGCTGAAAGAGGCCTCCTATCTGACAAGGGCAACCACCGTCGTGTTCAAGGAATACTGGATGTCAATGACGTTAAAGCAGAATTGGAAGGAAGGAAGCATTTTGATAAACTCACAGACATGAGGTTCATCAGAAGATTTTAAGAGACATTACCTTTTCGAATTGGACCTCAGAGAATGTAACCACCAGGGTTTCTCACGACATGGTCCGGTTCCCTAGCCAAGGCTGCCTTTGAGGCCAGGGCCGTGGGCTCCAGGCCGGGCTCCAAGCAACGAGCGGGGCCACTGTCTCTAGCACGATTCCTTTTGCATCTGCTTCGAGCCTTGGAGCCTCAGTGAGAAGAGCCACGTGGACTCGGGCAAGTTTCCCAGCCTCCCTGCGCCCTAGAATGGGAATAATGACAGGCTCTACCTTGCCGGGCTGTAGCGAGGACTAAAGTGGTGGCTGTTTGTAAGAGCCCCTGGAACAGTGCCCAGTGGACAAGAAGCACTCCCTGCGTGTTAAATAAATCACCCACGCTGTGAGAGACCTTTAGAGATAGTCAAATCCCTTCACTGTAGTGTCACGGATGACACACCTGATTGGAAGGACCCCTGACTTCACCTAGCAGACACTTTGGAACATTCTTATGAGCTTTAAATGTCATCTGAATGACAGCTTTGGCATTAGCGGGGACCACTGTGGCATTAGCCCAGGCCTGTTACGAGAATATTCTTCAACACCACAGTGGTTAGCCGTCTTTTCTGCCCCTCAGACTCTCGCAGCTCAGAAGGAGAGGTGCAATCTGCAGAGGACATTTCCTGCCGGACACAACACCTGTTCCGCCCACCCGATGCCACTCTCTAGCAAGGTGTGAGGGCGGTAACACCATCCAGCGAAGGGTCACACGGGGGTGCAGGGGAGGAGAAGAGAGCCTGGACCCAGAGACACCCCCCCTCCCGCCCCATCCAACACACACACACACACAACTGATCTCATCAGCTCCAGAACACACTGCAGTTTCCTTCATAGTAAATGACACACAGCGACGGTCAGTTAAGGAAGCGTTTGGGGAGGATGTAATCATAGGGGAGAAAGATGCCTCTGGCCTCATGTGTTTGTAGAGACGCTGATTTTACCCCTTGTTTGCATGGGACAGGAGACTGTAGCAGAAATTTACCCTCCTCTGCACTCATCTGATGGAAAAGGAAGGCAAGAAGAGCACCTTCATAAGATCGTTGTGAATGTGAACTGCGCTTATGCACACGAACGGCGCTGTGGTCATGGTAGAAAGCAGTCTTGCCCATGCCCAGGTTTGGCGAGGATGCCATCCCATAGAGGACAGAGCATGGCCAGCAACTGGGGGCTATGGAGGTTGCATCTGGCCCATGAGATTCTATATTTTTGCTGTGCCTTCAGATCCCCTCTAGAAACCTGTTCTTCAAATATTTGGACAGTAAATCATTCAGAGGAGACCAGCTACACTCTATTTGCCCTAAGGACAGAACAGGCAAGAAGAAAGAGCCTCCCACTCCAGCAACAGGACTTTGTTTAGATAGTAGGAGGAACTGGCCGTCACTAAAGATTAACTTTAAAACCTAACTAATTTGGGCTAATTGGAGGGAGATGAGTCTAAATCACTTAAAATTCTGAGTTAGACCCTATTTTTAAATGAAATATAGTTTTTTGCTTTCAAGCACTTACAGTGACTCAAACTAGCGTGCTTTAGTAAATGAATAAGAGTGGTAATTAGCATCTTGTCTCTTTGGAGAGAAACGCAAGCTCCAGGAGAAAATTTTTTAACGAAAGGGCAAAAGTAAGCTTCAGCCTACCCCTGTCAAATTACTCCAGATTTTAAATCTGCGGGGGATCTACTAAACTGAGTATAGATTTAGGTGGCTGAGGGTGCTGGTGGATACTTTTTTCTGAGCAGTCTTTGAAAAACAGGGCATTTGAGATGGTCCAGGCATAGAGAGCACACGGCCGGTGACCTCCCCAGTTTCCTTCAAGCTCTCTGAGTTTATTTGCCTCACGGCTTAGCTTTTTAAACATAAGGAGAATCCTTTAAGCCCTTGTGTCCTAGTCTTGTCATTTATTACCACCATGTGGCAATGCTAGGGTATGAAGCCAATAAATCATTTGGATGGGAAGTGACTCCAGGCCGGATTAATTTCATTATCATCCTTAAGCAGATAGGTGTCTAGCACGGCCGATGTCTCCAGTGAGGACTGATGTTCTCTGTCCTGACAGCCTTCCCCTGGCCTCGCGGACAGCTACGGTGGTTCTTCCCTTTCCCTGCTGGAGGGGCCTGTCCTGCCTTTTCCTGTGAAGGGCAGTGCGTGGACACACCCCCTTCCTTTGTGGCCCACCTCGCGCCCCGCGGTTGCTGGGGGACTCCAAGAAGCCTGACCAGGGTGGCCCCGCCGTCTCCGCACAGCCGAGCAAGGCAAGCACGTCAGTCAAGAGCACCCAAGGAGGGCGTCTGTGGTGGTGTTCCTTCCAGACTTGCTGAGACAAACTCGCTCCCCAGACGCAGGGGGGGAAGGAGATGGCTGCCAGGTGGCAACCCTGAACTTCAAACTGAAGCCACGCTAAGCCCCCCCCTAAGGACCTACACACGCAGGGCAGCATCCCCGACCCTAACCCTCCTCCCCTCCATTAAATTCCCTCTACGGCAGTGCGGCTCATCTCGGAGTGTGGCGCACAAACAGCAAGGTCCCCCGAGGAGTTTTACAAACTCCAACAGCTCTTGGCGAGATGACTCCAGGGCTGCAAAGTCTGCGCTGCAGGAGGGTGAGCACGGAGGCGAGTCCTTTCTCCGTAGCTTTCTCTGCTGGCTGCTCTCCAGCAAGGGCTCCAGGGACGCACCCAGCCAGGTGTCACCCGAAGCAGCTGTGCCCAAACTGGCTCGGGGAACCGCTCAGCCAAAGAGCCCAAGGAAGAGGCGTCCCCTGTCCTCTGTTCCTCAAGGATAGTCTCTGCTTTGAGGGGAGAGCCTGCAGGGTCCGAAGGCCTTCTTGTGCAAACACATTTTCCTGGGACTCCACAGGCGTGAAAGACAGGCGGCGCCGACTTTCCAGGTGGCCTGGGCAGCTGCTCCTGCGGCTCCGCTACCCGGAAGGGCACCCGCATCTGTGCATCTGCGCCCCATCCCCGAGCGCCATCTTGACCCTCCTTCACCCAGAAACTCTCCCATCGGCGTGGCTTGCGGCGCCCAACTCCTGCCCGTCCCTGAGTCCCTCTGCTCGTCTCCGTCTCAAGAGCCACGACGTCATTTCTGGCCAACATCGGGCCTCACCTGAACTGCTTCTAGTGACAGCTTCCAAGGGCCCCCCTATTACCAGGTTTGCTCCTCTTCCATCCATGGTCCATACCCACCATGGGCATTTCTGAGACACAAATCCCTCAAGATCCTCCAATGGCTTCTTGGGCCTATTGTGGGGACCAAAGTCAAACTCCCGACGAAGCTGACAGGGCTGCCCAATGTGTGCCTCCCCTTCTCGCCTCCCTCCCCGCTTCTCTGCCGTCCTCCCTGACAGGCCGTGGGGGATGCTGGTTAGGCCACAGACCCTGGGGCCCAACTGTCTGGGTCCAGATCTTGGCTCTGCCGCTGGCTAGCTGCTAGTACACCTCCCCGCGCCTCAGTGTACCCATCTATAAAGAGGGTTAATAACGGCGCCTACCTCAGAGGTCTGCTGTATAAAGGATGGAATAAGCCCAAAGAGGGCGCAGTGCCGAGGACAGCGTCTGGCAGGGTGAGGCCTCCATCACGTTGGCTGTTGTTGGATTGCTGGCCCTCACTGCCACGCCCGCGCCTCTCGAGTTTTAGCCGGCTGACAAGTCTTTCTGTGCAAGAACATGTGGGGTGTGCCGGCGCCCCATCCCGGCCCGGTTAAGTTCTCCTCGCTCTTCAGGTCTCCGCTTAGTCCCAGCGTCCTCCAGGAAGCTTCTCGGCTGCTCTGAGCCACAGCACTGCTATGCCGTAGGTGCTGCCTCCGTCCTCGTCTCCCCTGCCCTCCCCCCCCCTTCCTGAGGCGGTAGGCTCCCTGAAGGCAGGAGCTAGGTCTCTCTTGCTCTTGCATGCAACCCCAGCACTCGGCACAGAGCAGATATTCAACAAAGATTTGGACAATGTTGCTGAATGACTCCCACGATCCCAGCATGTTCAGGAACCTTCCCTGCCTCCTTTCTCCTGTTCTGTGCAGGCTTCTCCGGCACACAGATCTCGGACACGGGCGCCCTGTACCCACCTCGGCACTCAGCCAGCATGTGGGTCAGGGGCCACAGGAGGTATGACTGAATACCGTAAACAAACAGGAAATGTAGAACTTCTTCAGAAAAAAAAAAAAAAAAAGGACCCTACACAAAGGCTACGTGGTTCTGTGAACACCGTGGAGAGCCGTGAGGTGACGTTTCCCACCCAAACTGCAGGACGGAGAGCAATCAGTCGCATGAAAACAAAGGCCTCGCAGAGGAGGACCCAGGGGGACCACACACCACGACAGACAGGGATTCCTGGGCTCTTCCAAATGAGCAACTGAGAAAGCAATCTACCAACTATGCCAGAAAACGGTGGGAGTTGTGTAATTTTTTTAAAAGAATTGTCCTGGTTTACCTGGAGATGATCTAATTGAGTCAGGATGGGGCTCGGGGAAGAAGACGTCGAGGGCTCAGCCCCGCTCTTACCTCGTAATGGCCGATGGTATTTAGCTTAGTTATTCCATCTTCGAGAATCACAGATGAACTGTCAATATCCAGCAGTTCTTTTTGTCGTGTCCCCACTTGCAGCTCTGGGAAGGAAAAAAAAAAAAGAGAGAGAGAGTGTATTTTGTTCTCCTCTGACATTATAGTGAGAAAGTTTAAATGCTACTCTGTAATAACAGTAGCAATTATTATTTAGGGATACAGCTTAAATAAAGTGGTTAATATTTGTTTGAAGATTTGGAGATATCTCAGCCAGACAGGTAGCCTGAGTTTTGTTTTGTTTTTGTTTTGTGTTTAGGGCTTTGACTTTTAAGACTATGTTTCCCTGAAGCTTATACTCTGAGGCTAAGCCTGGAAGTAAAGCCAATGAGAACAAAATAATGTATCCTTAGAGGGACGAAGCTCTGCAGAAAATTCCAACAACAAATTTGTATGTTCCCAAGCAGGTGCACTGTGAACGGTCTCCTGTAGGTCCCTGTGTGGGAGTGCGCTGGTGGGCTCATATTCCAAACCACACGCCTCAAGCTCTTTTATGGAGGTTGCCAACTTGTGCCCTAGGGCCAGAATGTGGCCCACCAATGTGTATTTTTTGTGTGTGTGTGTGAACCTTCACAGTGTTTTGCTTATAACTAATGTCAATTCAGCACCAACAGTCAAAGATCAGAAAAATTCAGACTGAGTTCTCTTCTAAAAAATGGGATCATCCGATATCACTGACCCCAGCGGCCTGCATGCAACCATTGGCTGAAGCTACGGGGCACTACCCCGTTAGATGAGGTGTCCTGCCCCAGTGAAGTTGGGCCCCACCATTTCCTGGTGTCCTAGGTGGGCCAGCACCCCTTATTTTTGACAGTCGCTGCCCCTCCGGGCCTCCAAGTTCGTGAGCCTCTGCTAGAGGAGGTCTCCCACAGCGGCTCTGGGATAGGATTTCAATACGACCTAAGGCTGGCTTCGAGGGTTTGCCTTGGTTTTCCGAGGCCAGCCTTGGAGATCGTTTGCAAGATGATCACGGCAGCAGAAGCCTGACAGGCTGGGATGCTCTGCTCCCATTTCCCATCAGACTACAACGTGAAGCCTCTAGGAGACTTGTTCTGCTGCCTGCCTTCCCCTATCACGAGGAACTGATGGGCTCAAGCTCAGGAATGGCAAGAGGATGCTCCTGCTTACTCCGCCTGGCAGGACGGAGGCCCCCGGGCTGTGGGCCCCCTGTGCCCAGCTCCTGGCAGCCAGAGCCACACTGGCGGGAGGCAGCCTCACGGCAAGGAAGGTGATGGTTCTGGGTCAGGTGACAACGGCCTCCCGTCTGGGGCTGCCTCTGCGACCCCGCCTCTAACCGAGTCAGCTACCTCGGCCTTCAAGCGTCCGACAGTCCACCCAACAGAAGGAAACAGAAGAGAGGCCAGGAGAGGGGCCTGGCGGCCCTCTCTTTGAAGCCCAGTCACATAGTTTGCGGCACCTCTGCCTGGCTTCCCGCAGCTGCCAGGCCCTGCCCCCAGGCTTCTCTAAATGGCCGTTTAGCGGGAGCTTTGGCCTTGGAGGGCCAGGTGGGAGGATTTTAATTGCCTGCTCAGTCGGGCCGCAAGTCTACATTGAGGGGAGATGAGCCTTGTTACGCTTGTCTGTCACTGCTGTGATTTTACTCTTCTTTCCTGTCCCATTATCTGCTATAAAATCCCACGACAGTCTCTGGGGAGGGCTGCAGGGAGCTCAACTTTAAAACAGTGATGAACATTTGAGTGGAGTGGAACTCCGTTAGCTCGCTCAGGCATATGCTCTCCTTTGCAGATACCAACAATGCCCGAGAACGAATTCAGAGCAGATGCTGCTTTGGGGTGGGAGGAAGGATGGAGACCATACTTAATGCAGGATGCGATTAGCAGCGAGGAAGATGACCTTTCTAGTGTGCTGGAGTTAACACCCAGAGTCTGAGCCACCCGCTAATGACACACTCCGTATCACAACAAACAAATCAAATGCCAACGCGAAATGCAACACACAGAGAGGGCGCGGGGTTTACGCCTTCTTGTACTTCGTGATGCAAGGTGAATCCATTCAGTCTCAGGGTGAGCAATCTCATGAATCTGATTTACAAACATAATATTTTTTTAAAAAAAAACCAGTGTCTTTGAAGGATAATGCTTCCTAGGAAGAATCATGCTGCTCGTGGGAGAGCCGTGCAGGCTCTGGGCCCCCAGACGTGCCCCCTGGGAGCTTCAACAAGCAGAGACTTACATGCCGTGGGCAGGGAGAAAGGGAGAGATGGTGGGAGAGACATTCACCGGGGACTGGGATGAAATAGCTCCTTCATTGCCTTACCGAGACCAATTTCATTCAGCTGAAGTCCATAAGGAGAGCCATTTTTGCTTAGGAAAGCCTGGAAAATCTTTTCTTTCGCTTGGCCTATGGTGTCACAATCAAGAACATTGACTGAAATGTTCCGACAGACATCTGCACTCTCATTTTCCGGGATCTTTTCAAAGATGACGTTTAATGCCTGAAAGAATACAAACAGGTTTCCAAGTCTATTAGATAATTGCGATCTGAAAGGCATTCATAAAAGACACAAACCTTGGCGAGTCCTACTAATACCTGACAGCACATTAGCAAACACTGTGTCGCATTATACTACTTTAATCTTTTCTCGATAATCCATTCTTTTCAGGGATAATGGAAAGGAAAACAGAAAAGTGAAAACTCTCATTACAGAGCAAGCACTGAATAAATATATGAGAGTAAAACATATATACACATAAATATTCTAGAAGTGGTGACTTCTAATTTCATCCTCAAAAAAAAAAAAAAATTGGAAAAGCTTCCACAGCAGATGAGGGCAGGCTGGTGATTATCTGTTTTATTAACAGGACCACAGTGTCCCAGAAGTGAAGTTCCAGGTGACAAGAAAGGTCAGGGGGTCCCTGTATTGATCCTGCTGAAGGAGGTCACTTTTTATTGTGCAGTATTAATGATGAGAACATTTATCTCCCCCCTCCACTTCGACATCCTCAGACAGCTTCCCAAGCCCTCATTAAGACCCCGAGGTCCCCACCCTGTGCTATTATTCTTGCATGAATTACTTTACATTTCAGTGCTGTTATTTAATGTTTCATCAGTTAACACTCTCCCAGTGCAGCAAACCCTCAGAATCGGATGGATGGGGGAAGGAAGGAAGGCTTTCGTGAATGTGTGAAAAGACAGAACAAGGGAGTATTTCAGAACAAACTGAAAAGCCATTTCGGGTTTACTCTGAGAACGTGCGCACGCACACGGGCACACACACACCCTAACACAACAAAGTTTACCTACTACAGCTCCTCGGGGGAACCGACTCAGGGAAAGGCTAAGAGTATTCTGTAATTAGCATAGCACACAGTTTGGATGTGAAGGCACCGCGGTGATCGCAGAATCAAGGGTCGGGTGTGAAATGCACAGTGAACCTGGCTACCATGAGGGGATGTAAAATGATTACTGGAAATGTTTTTTAAAAATGGAAACACAATTAAGGGGAGATTGGGGATCCTTAGGATTCATTCAACTTTCAAATGGGTATAGTAACAGTACGTGCCTTCTAGTGTTGTTACAGAGATTAAATGAGATGATGCACGTCACAGGCTTGGCACGGGGCTGGACTGCTGGGAAGGGCTCGATGCTGATGATGAGGATGGTGATGATCAAAGTGGTAAGTGACGGTTTCCTGTAACTTTTCAGAATCCTTACTGTGGCTAGTGTTGTGTGCCTTCCTTAGGAGACTGCGAGAGCCCGCCGAAGCTGAGCAGCCAGGGCTCAGACTCCACGCCCTGTACCCAGTGGGGCGAGCAGCCGTTCTGGGGGCCAACCCCTCAGTTTCCTCTGCCGCACAGTGGGAGTCACAATGGCAACTGCCCCTGGGCTCCGGTGCTGATGAACTGAATTAACCTCAGGGTGCGGAGCACAGGGTCCAGCTGGCGAGCCCTCAGGAGATAGGATGACAGAAGGACTAGGGACATGGGAGAGGGGATTGCAAACTCTGGGAGGGTCTCAGAGGCATGTCTTCTTGTCATGGCCTTTACACCTTGCTCCCGCACTCCTGCTTACAATTACATGCAGTAAACTTTGGTCCAGTCCCAATTAAACGATTAACACTCTGAGGCCGTGGAGTCTGAACTCTGGGGTTAAGCGGGGATCTCAGCCCCGCAGTTCCCTTCTTCCCGAGAGGGTCCCTCCCTCGCCTGCAGTCTGGGCACACTGCGGATCGGGGCCAGTCACAGCCAGGAAGGGAGGCCGAGGGCCCCTCCGTGCACAAACCCAGACACACAGGACAGGACAGAAGGCCGGGAGTGTTGGCAGGAGGGCATGCGCTGGGCGGACCGTCTAGAAGGAACCAGAGTCCTCTCCCTCCACCTTCTTGGTTCAGCACATTTATCGACACCCTGCCAACTTCACTTCCAGGCACACCTATTTTAACCTTCCCAACATCCTGGCTTGGGGGCTGTGCTCTTATTATCCCCCCCCCTTTTTTTTTTTAAGTAGGCTCCAAGGCCATCGCGGGGCTTGAACTCGCGGCCCTGAGATCAAGACCTGAACTGAGATCAAGAGTCAGACGCTTAACTAACTGAGCCACCAGGCACCCCCTACTTTATTAAGTAGTATTATCCCCATTTTTGAGTGAGGAAATGGAGGCACAGAGGGGCCAAATAACCTGCACCGGGGAGGCCAGTGGGCACCGCAAACCACTCAGTGACGGGGTTCTCCCCCCCATTCCTGCTCCCACCCACAGCCCAGGAACCCTGGGCCTCCAGGAGCCCTGTTTTAGGTCAGGCTGCAAGCCAAGTCCTGAGCGAGACTCCCGGCACAAACGGGGGTTCTGGAGGCGTAAACGCGGGTCCTGCCCTCACAGTCTGTGTAGACCTGCCCGTGTCTTCCCACATACGTCTGCGAGCTGGTGCCGCACAGGGGGGATGGGGGTGGTTACGCTATTTCACGGGGCGTCCAAAGATAAAGACAACTGGAAAGCACCTTTTAATCGGAGCTCCAGTGATCCCAGCTTGTTTAATAGCTTGATAGGTATTTGTGAAATCGCACTCTGTGACTACCTATAGGGCACCACTGTCTTTAACAAAAACACCTCTTTATAGGCAATAAATGTTCTACTTAAAAACATAACCAAAAGGAGAAAAAAAAAACCTTAACTGGATGTAAAATAATGTAAATCTGCCACTGCCACCACAGCTAGATGGGTGGAAACAGTAAAATGGTGTTTGATAGAGGCCACAGGGGATTCTGAGAGTCAATCCAGACACCAATTGATTCTGTATGCTGCTAACGCTTAGTGCTCCACCAGCAATTTCCTAAAGTGTAAGTGGGGTCAGGGGCTCCCAGAGTGGGCCCTAGCTCTTCACCCCACCCCAGGCTCCGAGAGCACACACTGGGCTTCGTCCGCCACTGGGGAAGATCCCCCATGGAAGCGCCGTCTCTCCCCTTACAAACCCATTTAGCCAGAATCTTCCCTGTGACCTACTCAGTGTTAGGGGCTGGGGTATAGGGTAGACCTTAAGACATAGTCGTTGTTGGGCGCCTGGGTGGCTCAGTTGGTTGAGCGACTGCCTTCGGCTCAGGTCATGATCCTGGAGTCCCGGAATCGAGTCCCGGGATCGAGTCCCGCATCGGGCTCCCTGCTCGGCAGGGAGTCTGCTCCTCCCTCTGACCCTCCTCCTCTTGTGCTCTTTCTCTCTCTCACTCTCTCTCTCAAATAAATAAATAAAATCTTAAAAAAAAAAAAAAGACATAGTCGTTGTTTTTGGATAATTCACAATACGTTTGACACACTAAAGCATCGTCTTTGAAACAGTATTTAGCCCCCAGGTGCAACAGCATCCCCCTCAGTCAGTGTTGACAGAAAATTCAAGAAGGAAGGACGGGAGAGCTGAGAGCTCTGAGCACAGGCATCAGACCATCTGGATCATCCCCTTCTGGTACTTAGCTGTGAGAGTGTGGGTAAGTTATCTCATTTCTCTGAGCCTTAACACTTCCTTTCCTTCCCCTTGCCCTCCCCTTTCCCCTCTCCCATCCCCCTTCTCCTCTCCCATCCCCCTTCCCCTCCCCCTTCCCCCCTCCCCTCCCCTCCCCCCTCCCCTCCCCCCCTCCCCTCCCCCCTCCCCTCCCCCTTCCCTCCCTTCCCTTCCCTTCCTTTCCTTTTTCTTATAAACTCTACACCCAATGTGGGGCTCAAATTCACAACCCTAAGATTGAGTCACATGCTCTACCGACTGAGCCAGCCAGGCACTCCTACACTCTGTTTCTATTTAAAAGGAGTGACAAGGTTACTGAATAATGACATAATAATAGCAAATTAAGGAGTGCTTCCTGTGTGCCAAGCACTATTGTAAAGTATGTCTGTGTATTTGTATGTAAGAATCTCAGAAACCTTATCTCATAGATTCTATTATTCCCATTTTACAGATGACAAACTGAGGCACAGAGAAGTTATAGAAATTGCACAAGATCACCCAGCAAGAAAATGGTAGAAGTGGCACTCTAGCTCCATGTTCTTAAACCTTTGGTGATCCTGCCTTTTAAAATATGAAAATGTTTTGTAAACTAAGCACGTCCAAATCTATAGGATGGCAATTAGTCTTCAATACCCACAAAAGGCTAAAGTGCTCAAAAATCTATACTGATCTTTTCTCCAGAAATCTGTCCCTGAATAACTCTGGCTTTCCCTATTTCTTTGGCATAAATGTATCAACAAAGCTGGGACAACAGATATGGTTAGTGGTATATGGCCATGTAACCCAGTTCTGGCCAATGAGATAGAAAGGGAAAGGGTTTCTACTCTAACAGAAGGGAAGTGTAGTGCTAGGAGCTGTGGCAGCTATTTTGTGACTAGGTGGGAGGCTGAAGAAGAGCACAACGATGGTGACCCAGATGAGCAGATGGACCAGCCTTGGGCTGCTCACCTCCCAACTTTCTGCTCTAGAATGCAATTCCATGTTCTTACTATTTCAAGCACCATCATTCTGGTTTTTCTCTTACTTACAGCTGAATGTACCCAACCTGACAGAGCTCACTTTGTTGATGCTAAGGTAGCTAACTTCACTCAGTGATACCCATCTACTTTGCACCTGTTGTGAACAGGGCATTGTAGAATATACAAAGTAGAAAGCTAGCCCGGATTCTGACTGGGAAGTATTTGAAGACTGATAGAACAACTGTGGGATGTATACAAAGAATTCTAATACCAGGTAGAAAATAGTAGGTTAGGTAGAATGCTTTAGGGGTTCAGAGAGAGATTACTTCTAGCTTAGAGGAAGTTTTTCAAAGCGAGAGAAATCAGAGAAGGCTGCATGGAGGAAGGGACATTTGAATTGGGTCTGGAAAGGAGCTGCATGAGCAGCAATACATGAGGAGGCCTCTGGACCATGACATACTTGGCTTCAATTCTAACTGGTGAATAACAAGCTTAATCTTTTATTCAGGCTACTAGGTCAGGAAATCTAGATAAAAAGAATCCCACTTCCTTTGGGTAGAATGGAGGTTGGAGGACTTGAAGAACCGTGCTTGCCCTTCCAAAATCACCATCTGCCGTCTGAGGGTTTCCATTACTATTTATGGAAACAAAAACTGAAGACGAGAACACTGTTTTAGGTTTCTAATAATCATAGCTCTCACATACAGCATGTTGAACACTTACCATTTACTAGGAGTTGTCTTACATGCTGTGCTAATTCATTTAATCTTGCTCTGTGCATTTAATAACTGCTCAGTGAAGTGGACACTATTATTAGCCTCACTTAACAGATGAAGAAACTGAGACAGAAGGAGATTCAGAAATGTGTCTGAGATCACAGAACTGCTGAGGGTCATCACTAGGATGTGTCCATACTTTTAGCAAACCCAAAAGGCCAATCAAGGTGATAAACATCCAACGGCAGTCCCAGTCTGCCTGAGATTCTTGATAAATGCTCTTAGAGCAGACAGAGTGGATGCAGACAGCCTCGAAGAGGAGGCTGAACCTCCCTGGCTTGGCTTGGCACGGAACCCCGTGGAACGCACTCAGTCTGGAGGACCCCGTGGGCTGGTGCAAGTACCACCCACTGGCATTTTTATGGAGCTCACATTCACCCAGAGGAAAGAGGACCTTTCCCAGCCTCTACCACAGCCTGCTGTGGCCACGTGACTACACTCTGGCCAATGAGATTAAGCAGATGTGTTCTGTGGCAGCCTCTGGGAAACTTCCTCAAAAGACAGCTGGTGACCATCTGTCCCATTTCCTACAGCCCTACTGATGTCCTGCTGGCTGGAATGTGGAAGAAGGCTGCGTGAGGGGTGAGAAAACACTTTAGACCATGAGGTGGCCTGAGGACAAGAGACTGGGGGCCTGGGTCTGTGAGGATGTCCCAGAGCAGAGGCACCCACCAGCAGCAGACTGCCCACCGCAGAACTTCATGTGGGACAGAAATCAACTTGCCTGTTGCTTGAGCCCCAGGTAGCTTGCGTCTGTTTCCTGCAGCAAAACTGAATCCTAATGGATTCAGTAATGTGCCTATTACCCAGAAGGGTTCTTGGAAGGGTATTTGGAAGATGCATGGCCCAGAACCCAGAGAAAGGACCAGATGGGAAGGACCTGGTTCTTCTGTAAGCAGGTCACAAACCAGCCCTTTAGGTAGGTCGTTGCTCAGATTTATCACTGTGGTCTTCTGTTCACATCTGTCTGGTGGGATGCTGTGTGCAGATTGTAAACACACAGATGGAGGGATTATGGGTAACATTTCTAATAGTAACATGAGCTTTTAATGACACTGGATTCAGCTAATCAACTCCCCGTATCACCCATCGTCAGTGAATCACCAACCAGGAAGAATGGTGAGAGGACACTGTGCTTAGTAGATCTTACAGTTGATGACAAAAACTGCTCAGACAAGAAAAACGATTATAAATAAATGATGAGAACTTCTCTAGCCATCTGACACAGATTATTTTCTGACCTCATAACAAGCATACAAGTTTAGGATTTATGATCACCTGTTTCTATATGAAGAAACAGGTTTAGAGAGGCTTGGTGACTTGCCCAAGGTCACTAACAGCCCATTAGTAAAGGGGTTGAGCTCGGATTCACACCCACGACTGTCTGACTCTAACCCCACACCTCTCGTGCACTAAGCTACACAGTAGCTAGACGTACAAGACGTACAAGTATGCAGATTCACTAGCGGCTTTGCCCACCACTCCTTCACACAGCTTGGTGGTTTAAGGTATCAAGGAGATAGAAAAAAATAAGGCCGTGGGCGGGGGAGTGGGGAGCTGGCAAGGTGACTCAAAGGCAGGGGAAGAGGCATTTCCCCATACGTTTTGCACACTTTGGTGGGGAGAGGCTGATCCAGCTACCTTATTAACTCCTCAACCACCTTCTTGGCTTGTAAGGGCAGAGATGTTGCTGCATCCTTTCTGTGGTGTCTTATAATACCTAGAAAGTAATTTTAAAAGAATGTATTACAAGCCAGCCACTTTATCACAAAAGGTCTTAGGCCAATAATTGCTTTCATTATATAAAACCTATAAAATATATTTTTCTAATTTCATATTAGAGCCAAATGAAGGTCAAGAGAAAAGTCTGGGGGAACCTGGGTGGCTCCTTCAGTGAAGCGTCTGCCTTCGGCTCAGGCCATGATCCCAGGGTCCTACTCAGTAGAGAGCCTGTGTCCCCCTCTCCCTCTGCCTCTCTGAGACCTCCTCACCCCCCCGCGCTGGCTTGTGCTCTCTTGCTCTCTGTCAAATAAATAAAATTTTTTAAAAAAAGAGAGAGAGAGAGAAAAAATCTGGTTCTTATACCCAAGTGGATTTAGAGGGGGTTTGAAGTAAGAGAGAAGAACACTGCTTCCAGAGGTTCGTAGAAGCAGCCTGAGCCCAGAGCTGCAAGTGCAAGGCTCAGAAGCTTCTGAGCTGAGGTTTTCCTTAAGCTGGAGTTGGCAGCCCTGGGACGGCTACTGGATGCCCCCTGCAATGCTGCTCTTGGCTGCCCTACATCCCCTCTCCCCTCTTTTTCCTTCCCGCAAAGACAGAGAGCCCAAAGATTCCTGGATCAAGGAATTTTGCTTGCCCCCCCCGCAGAATAATGAGGAAGGAAGGCCTTTTCCATCTTGAAGAAGAAAATTAAGTTAATGGAGAGAATTTCCTCAAATGTAAGTTTCTGTCATAAAATTTCTATACTTGCTAGCATTTGCTAACATTTGTTCATGATAGAGTCAAGTAAGAATCTGTCTTATTTAGCCCAAAATGACTGGTTTCAGTACTTTCGGCTTAATATGAATATGTCACAGTTTGTTTTTTGGCAAAGCACGCCCATGAGTTTCAGACTGATGTAGAGTGATGAGGCATTTCCACTGGTGTGTCTCCAGAAAAAGAGGAAAGAGGGCCAAGGCTTTTGGGGTTTTAGGGTTTAGGGGGAGGGCAGATTCTAGTTCTTTTTCTTATTTTGTCAGGCTCTAGATTAAGAGCTGGCAAACTTTCTGTAAAAAGCCAGATAGTAACTATTTAAGACTCTGCAGCCTATACGGTCTCTGTTACCTCTACTCGACTCTGCAGTTGTAGCAGGAAAACAGCCATAGACAACAGTCAATGAATGTGCATGGCTGCATTTCAATAAAACTTTATTTATAACAATAGACCGCATGGCCACATTTGGCCCACAGGTTCTTGTTTGGTGATCCCTGCTCTAGACAATGGTGACTTCAAATGGAATGCTGACTTTGACAATGTCAAAAAAAAAAAAAAAAAAAGGGAAAAAAATGCCTTTTATCTCCACCACGATTTGCTATACAAGTTACCATTCTCTGAGGAGTAGAAGTATAAATAAGGATCCTTAACAATGAAATAATAAAGTCACATTTGAGCTATAAAGAAGGAAATTAAATACCTTTGTATTTAGGTAACTAAATTATTTTCTAATCCCAAGATTATGGGTATGAGAAGAAAGGGTATGAAGAGGAAAGTCATTTCAAGCACTCATTTAATGTTAATTTTTCATTTTCCACTGCTTGCCATCAACTAGGGAATGACTTACCTAAATGATTATAAAAAAATGGTTTCACTTCTTTGATCAGGAAGCTCAGAACAGTAACTATGAAGTTAGTAATGGTTTCGGTATTATTGCAAGTCATAATGGAAATGATTTGCACTATGGTAGAGAGAAAAAGAAAAAAAAAATCCTAAGAATTGTTAATTAACTTCACTGTTTCTCCACAAATGCTAGGAGTATTAAAAACAAGGTTGCTGAAGTGCAAACATCAGGATTTAATGAACAATGGGATGTAATTGAAGTAACAGAGAATGACTTAATCGGGACAGTGGGTTGTTTAATTATGGGGATAATGGATCTTCTGAAAGGGACAAACTAAATGGAACAGAAGGAGCTGGGGAGTGGTGGGGAGAGCCGCTGTGTTCGAGGAAGCGTGGAGACGTGAAACTCTCATGAGAGGTAGTGAGCACTCTGTTACCGAGGAAATATTAAACAACAGGACTGTCCCCGAAATGTAACGACTGGGTGCAAAAAGACCCAGTGGGGCAGGCTGGCAGAAATCGTCAACAGACCATAGTGCAGGCGTAAAGATTTCTACAGGCATGTATCTGCGCTTTTTCTAAGAATTTCTAATAATCTTAAAGACTTTCTTATAGATATGAGAAGGAGGGCAATAATATGTTTGTCAGAACACTGTTTCCCAGGGTGCCAAGATGCTATCTCTCAGATACAGCAGATTGGCAGGCTCATTTCCTGGGTTTAAGAGTTCAAAAAACCATTTCTCGCTTAACTTTGATTATAAGTCAACCTTCTCTTGCTAATTCAGCACACTTGCTACGAGTTATTGGGTTTTCTCATCTCCTCTTGAAAGTGAAGCCCATGTCCCTTCTCCCTTCTCCGAGTTATTGGGTTTTCTCATCTCCTCTTGAAAGTGAAGCCCATGTCCCTTCTCCCGTCCCTTCTAGCGTGTGGTGTACTTTCCTGGAACTGAAATGCTCATGCCTTCCTTAGCTCTCCCAAAGTTTCAGGCCATCTGCTCTGAAATCACCCTCGCAACACAAGACAGGGTGCACATGAGGCTGGCCCGAGATTCTCCAGCAATGAAATCGAACATTGCCTAAAATGCTGCAAAGGGAGAAAAACCACGGAGCAATCAGGCTTATTCCTGGGCCAGCTGTCAAATCTAAATCCCCTGATGTTGGAGGAAGACAGAGTCCTGCGTGTGCGTAGGCCCTCCCTTATGCAGGCATTCAGGGGGTTGATCACGTCAGGGCAGGCTCTTCACCGACCGCCAGCCTGCAGCGCCGTGATGGAGGAGGGTTCTTGCCATAGTAGAGCAAGTGTGACTGTATGGAGCTTTGCTCAGATTTGAGGAAAGACAGAGGAATTTTCCCCCCAGGAGGCACGGAAGGGTTACTTCTCCGAGCCCATTTGTCAGTATAATGATTTCATGTATAAGGAATTGTACATTCCTTACATGTTCTTCATGTCTTCATGTTCTAGAAAACACCCCATACCTCAGGGAGAACATATCCTAATCTTAGAGGTGTGAAACCTAACTTTCAGGCTGTTATGTGAGGTGCTATGTTTCTGAGAACCGAGCCACACAGGAGTTTGGGGCCTCTTTTAAATGTGTCCCTGCCATGGCACCAGGGTCTGGCATTTCAAGTTACTAAATGTGGCTGCTCTTGATTTTTTTTCTTTCCTTGAAAGAATTTACACACACACACACACACACACAGAATTGAGTTTGTTCAGCATACCTTGGTTTTCAATTACATAAACCACCTCAGGCAAACTTAGAAAATCAGGATTGTAAACCACTGGGTATACATGACTGGGGTGGGGGGTTTGGAGGGAGGTAAGAGAGAAAGAGGGAGGAGAGAGGGGGAGAGGGAGGAGAAAGGGGGAGAGGGAGGAGAAAGGGGGAGAGGGAGGAGAAAGGGGGAGGGGGAGGAGAAAGGGGGAGAGGGAGGAGAAAGGGGGGAGGGGAGGAGGGAGGAGAAGGGGAGGGGAGGGAGAGGTGAAGGGGAGGAAGGAGAGGGAGAAGCAGGGAGGAAAGGAGGAGGGAGAGGAAAGGAGGAGGGAGAGGAAAGGGGGAGGAGAGAGGAGGAGGAGGGAGGAGGGAGAAAGGGGGAGAGGGAAGGGGGGAGGAAGGAAGCAAATTGTAATATGATGGTTAAGACTGGGGGAACTTGCCTGAAAGGAAATGAAAAACCTTAAATTTTTTATATTGACCTTCTGCTAACATTTTGTCACACAAGCATGGCCCAGATCATGTGCCTCCTCTGGAGCTTCTAATATAACCATCTACCATGAAACAGGTTGGGACAGGTACAATAAAAGGCATTAAAAATCATTTTTAAAGCAAGGCCCCTAGAAACCAGTGGCCCACCCCTTTTCTAGTCTCTGTCTACTGGCAAATCTGCATTTGAAAAGCAAGATTTATCTGGATTTCTAAAATCATAATTTCCCGTTAGCCTTTTCCCCAGGGGCTATGAAGTAAAAAAGACGCCAAGAGTCAACATGAATTCCTTCAACATCAAGAAACATTTTGATGACAGTTGAGAGTTAACAAATCTGAAACACATGGTCTTAATTGACTGTGAAATAATGTTTCAAAATGAAAGGCAGAAAAAGTGTTGCCATGTAAAGCATTAAAAAGGACTCAAACCTCAAAAGCGGCTTCAGGCATTTGACTTCTTGCCCCACTCCCAGTCTGGTCCTCTCCTTTCCTCTCCTTCCTGTCGGGGTTCACATTTTCATGAACGTGATTCCCCCAACCTACAGACACTCGCCAACGTCTCTCTTTGGGAATCTGTGGGGCTTCCAAAATGTTTCAAAGTAAAAGCATACACATCTTTGGAGTGGGACCAAGGCCCTGCATTTGTCCTCCAACAATCGTAGGGAAAGGTATCAACAGGCCCTGATGCAAAGCTTGTCTTTCATTCTCCAAGATACCCAGGGGCCCTCTCCACGCACGCTGTACATCCTCGGTACTACCTGGGGTGTTTAAGAAATGTCTGTCTATGCCTGGCCTTCGTCCCCAGCAGTTCTGATTTCATCAGTCCCGATGGAAGACCCAGGCATTGGTTTGTCTGGATCTGCATTTCTTTTTCCTTTTTTTAAAAGATTTATTTCTTTGAGAGAGAGAAAAAGAGAGCGAGAGACAGCATGTGCGGGCATGAGAGCAGGGGGAGGGGCAGAGGCAGAGAGAGAGAGAGAAAATCCCAAGCAGGTTCCATGCCCAGCATGGAGCCCGATGCAGGACTCGATCCCACAACCCTGAGATCATGACCTGAGCCAAAACGAGGACAGGCAGAGGGAGAGGGAGAAGCAGACTCTCCACTGAGCAGGGAGCCCGATGTGGGGCTCAATCCCAGGCCCCTGGGATCATGACCCGAGCCGAAGGCAGACGTTTAACGACTGAGCCACCCAGGCGCCCGGCAGTCAATGCTCTTAACCGCTGTGAGGCCGCCATGAAACCCGCACAGTGATCATCCTCCCCATTTTACAGGCGAGGAGCCTGAGGCACAGGGAGGTTTGGAAACTTGCCCCATGTCACACAGATGGGCAGGGGTGGATTGCAAGTGTGCCCGGCCAGAGTCTGTGCTCTTCACCGCTGCATGCTAGTTTGAGAACCACTGCTCCTCACCAGCTCGGCCATAGACAGTTATATACACAGAAATCAGAACATAAGAAATGTTAACTTTCTACTCAGGCTCCTGGCTTGTGGATGGCCGCTGAGCAGGGTACTGTCTTCAGCGGAGGGTAAACTACATCTGGCAGTGACCTAGAACTGGAAACAGCTGCTGTGGACTATTCTCCCACCAGAGCACATAACCATAACACAGCCCACAGCGACATGGTGCCTTCTCCAATTAGGGAATGAATTCCTCTAGGATGATACCAAGGGTTTCGCCGTCCAGAGCTAAGCCACAGGAGACTCAGCCCCCTTACTGAGTAATCCCAAAACCCCACTGTCTTTTTTCCCTCCTCCTCCACTAACAAGATTGTGAAGAAGCCCCAAGTCTCCATAAGGCTAAGGATCAAACCAAATGACAGCGATCTTTTTCCCCAGTCTCTATGAACGGAAAAGCACAGAAAATGCCTAAGTAATTTTGGAGACACTTGTCACGCTTGGCCCTCTCTCTACAATTCGTGAATGTGCAAGAAATTGGTCTCTCTTCCTTTAGGAAGGGAAGGGGGTGGGGGTGGGATGGGGATGGGTGAAAAGAAGTTCTCGAATGGGTGAAACCCTCCGGCAGCCAGGCAATCATCTTCCTGTAGTGATTTACAGCGTTCCTCTAAAAATATCTATGAGATCACAGAACATTAAGTGCGTGACACCAAACATTTGTAACTAATCCATGAAAATAAAGTAAGGGTGTCATATTGCACGGGGAACACAGTGGAATTTGTCTTGTGTTATCGTTCTAAAATAAGACGGCCTCAATTTGGTTGAAATATATCTTCACACATTGTCTTCCAAAGCAGAGCCGTTTGAGAAATTCTGATTGCAATTATAAGTGCTGAATAGGGAGTGCTTTGCATTTCCTTTGACGATGCTGAAAAGCTATAAGCTATCCTGATATTAAAATCTTTGGAAATTGATGAGTACCCCAGGCATCATTACAATGCTCTCCCCCCAACCAAGTAATTAAAATCTATTATGTGAACACGTGTTAATATTTTATCAACTACTGTTTTTAATTAACTCATCGTCTGAGGCCTCCCGCAGTAGGAATGACATCGCTTTGTTTTAAGTGACCCCCCTGCCCCCACCCCGCCACCGAGCTCCCAGCCAGGCTTCTTTCCGGGGCTGGGGGGAGGCTTCATCGCGCACATACCACAGTACTGAACTCTGGAACCTGCCACAGCAGCCAGTCTTCGTTCAGGGTGTACAGGGCTTTGCAGGTGATTACATCCACGGGACCCTTGTTTATTTTCTGGTTCAAAGTCGTCACCAGCAAATAGAACGGCTCTCCAACAGTTTCCTTGGAAGAGACACAAAAGGGAAAGTCAGCTGTCTGCGGAAGCCACTGTACTTTCCGAAGAGTTAAAGTTTCAGTTTATGGCAGTGCGACAGGAGGCAGGAGGCAATGTTTTCTAACAATCAACATGAGACTCCCAAGAAAATACACACTGCTCCGCTCAGGATCGGGCGCAAAACTCAGGAGACGTGGCCTCTCCCGCCAGCTGCGCAGGCGCGCGCCCGCGCACACGCCCGCGCACACATGCACGCGCGCCCGTGCCCGCGCATAGACTCCCAGCATTTACAGTCCACAGCAACAAGAAATCCTCAGCGGATGGTTCTTTTATGTTTCAGCTTCTATATGGCAGACTGATGCTCATCAGCTGGCTAATGCCTAGAGTAGATGCGGAGGTTTAACCTTCGTTTATATTCCTATTTAATTGCCTTTTTGAGCAAACCAAAAATAAATGGCATTTAAAAAAATACACAACAATTAGCCTTGGTAACCAGAATAAATGTCAGAACATTTTGTAGACTTGCCAAGGAGGATGCTTTTTGGTGTTAAGAGGTTCTAATGAAGGAAGTGGCCTTTAGTGACCACAACCTGCAGCCATCCCGGCCAGCTCGCTGTGGTTTGCAGAGCTGGGCGTGCCCAGACACCCCTGGGCACCTCGTCTGTGCACCTTGGCTGGTACGCGGCCACTGATGCACTTGAACTCCCTTCCCTGGACCAGAGCCAAGTCCACTGCTTGAAGGCTTGTCCCCAGGATTCGGCCCATCCCGATGGCGTCTGTCTCCAAACTTCTGCCGTGGGCACTTACTCCTCGACCGGGGCTCGCCCGCTCATGGTTCATGAGATGCCTCAAACCTGTAGCCACACTGCACTTGCGTGGACTCTGAGCGGCTCCCGGGGGAGGCTTGGGTGTTCTGCTGCCATGGAAGCCGCCCAGAGCATGCAGCCCTGGGTCGGCCACAGCACACGTGCCAGGTAATCCGTGTCTACAATCAACGGACATTAACCAAATATGTGGAAGAGGGAGAGCTAGGGCCAGAAGCCAAACCCTCCGTGATGAAGAGGCCAGCCAAGCGACTGAGGCTGGAAGCACCGTTTCCAGCCAAGCTTCACGGCCTAGCTTGCAAAGGAGGGTTCCGTTAGCTCTCTCCCCTGCTTTGCCCTGACCAAGTAAATGGAGACCTCATGTAAGACTCCTGGCATCCCCCCTCCCCACCGCCTGTCCCATCCCCTCCCTGCAGGAACATGTGCTCTCCCCAGTCCCAGGGCTCCCTTCGGCCCCCTTCTGCCACCCCACTCTCCACTGGCTTCCCGTCACTTTTCCCATTACCTTTTCTCATTGAATCCTCTCATTTAATCCTGTGAGGTAAGTATCGTTATGACCATTTTGCACAGAGGGGGAGCTGGGGCACACGGAATAGCTGTGATTTTCCCCTGATCCCACAGCTGGCGTGGGATAGTCACCACTTTTCTCTTCCCTGCTGACATATCCTTGAGTCTCTTCCTTAGTGTAGGACAGAGGTGGAATGTTCGAAAATTTCCCAGGTGGGGAGAGCATTGGGACCAGCACCTGACATTTTAATTCTTATGGGAAATATCCTTTATTTAGTGGTTCACAACCACACTGCTCTCTTCTCTTTCCCTCTGCCCTCTGGGGTAATGTCCCGACTGCAAACCCAGAACTTCTACTTCTCCTTTTCCCTCCAGCACACATCAGAGACAGGGGTGAGTGTCCTTGTGAGCCTTGTGGGCTGGATGGGCCACCAAGGGTGCAGTTGGGGGCCAGGTGGACTCTGCCGGGCTGTGTGGAAGGGCAGCTACAGACTCACTGGCTCTGTAGTCAGGAATTCCCCAGAATTCTCCAGAGTGCAGCCAGACTGAGAGAAGTGATATTTTGTCTTATACTGTTACCCGCACCCACGGTTCTAACCCTGGGTGATCATTACCAGAATTCCCTGGGGCTCCCATAAAAAATTCAGATGCCTGGACCCTCCATTAGACCCACAGAGCCGGAACGTCTGGAACCGAGGCCTGGGCATCTGTGGTTTGAACACCTTCCCAGGGGATTCTGATATGGGGCCAGCTTCGAAAACCATGAAGTTTCTCTGTCACTATGGAACACGAGTCCTCAGTCATACCTGCTGGGGGCTTAGGTGTCTTACAGAGCAGGGAACACTCAGCTCCTCGGGTGGCTGGCTGTGGCCAAGTGCACCTGACCGGACCACGCCTACCCTCCCTCTCCTGGGATGGGAACTAAGCTCGGCCCCTTCACCTTCCTTTCCTTTGTGAGACCAGACTCTGGCCCTGGCTCAGCCAGAGGCCTTCATGCCTGTGATCTCGATCCATCCCTAAATCCTCCCTAAGCCCATAAGAAGGTGCCTGCCTCACTGGGGAGGTAGTAGCTAGGAGCTCTCAAACCCTGGTGCCATCCCATGCCCGCTGTGGGATCTGGCGGAAGGCACATCCATTCTGCGTGCTCCCAATCCCCCAAGTGCAAAATGGTCATAACGATCCTTACCTCACAGGATCAAATGAGAGGATTCAGTGAGAAAAGTAAGCAAAACTCTTCACATAATATCTGGCATGCTCAGTAAAGACAGTTGGTATTATTACTTCACTCACAGAGCCCTGGAAGCTCTGAGGAGGAGGTTACCTGGGGGTCACAGAGCTAGTGGCATCTAGGCAAATGTCTGTGGGACAGGGCAGGAGGACCAAGGCTGTCCGAGTCCCACATCTCCTTGGGCACCCGGTGTGGGAAGTCAGACCCCCTGCACCAGAGGGGATTTTTCCACAGAAACTGAAAGCATCTCTGGCCGGCTCACAGTCACTTCCTCCTGGTAAGCGTGCCACCCCTCACCATCTCAAGTGCTCAAGATACTCTTGAATCAGCACTGCAAAAGCTTGACCCAGAATCCTCTGCTTGAGGAGCCGTTTGGGCTCAGGGCCCAGATTTTTGGAACATCTCACCCATTTAAGGCTCAAGGGCAGCAAGGGCAAGTCTCCAACCACAAGATCCCCCAAGAAAGAGCTGGGAAGAAATTTAAAACCGGTGACTAGGCTCTTCATTCCATGAGTAGATAACAGTTGCCCAGAGGAAAAGGGCCAGAGACACACAGCTAACTGGGGCTGAGATGACTTTAGAGCCTGAACCTGCTGCTTCTAACCAACACTCCTAGTCCAGTGCTCTTTCTACTACCCCAGGATTCTCAAATGTAAGGCACATACAATTACCCGGAGGAGCTTGGCAAACGTGCATTTTCGGGCCCCACGGCCCGGGCTTCTGATTCAGTGGCATTGGTAGGGCAGGAATCTGACTTCCAAGACTAAGACCCAGAACTGGGTGTGGGTCCTGCCGCCTCTGTTTAGATGCAGTTGTGGCTGAAGCAAGGATGGTGGGAAGCGAAAATATTCGCCCCAGAAATAACTGCTCAACACCTCCCCAAAGCGTATGATGATTTATACCAAGTAAACAGAAAATAAGGCAGATTTCATTAATCTTAATAAATGGGTAGTGCCTTGGGAGAGGAAGGTGTTGGTAAAAAAAAAAAAAAAATGTTGTGCATCTACTTGTAAGATTGCATTAAACATTAAACTAAGCACAGTCTATTTAAAGTGCTGCTCTTGGATCTAAACTTAAGTAGCACTGTTAAAACCTGTGGCATATAGCAGTGTATCTTATTCAAAGCTTAATTAGATTTTGGAACTAGCTACAAACACACAATTAGGCAGTTTTGCTGGAATCTGGATGGCTGGTGAAATTAAAGAAGGATAAGAACCTTCTGTACCAGGGGCCTCAGAGGGGCTGAACGAAGATCGGGTTCAACAGAACACTCTTCTTGTCCTATTAATATTTTAGAACAGTACCGGTCAACATTTATGGAGTGTTTACTTGGTGCTAAGCCACTGCCTCCATTTTCTCCTCTAGGCTTCAGAGCGGCCCTAAGATAGTCTTCTTCCAGTGCTCCAGGCTATAAACCCAAGGCTCAGATAGGTGCGGAAGCCTCCTCTAGTGAGTGACGGGGTCCAGATGCAGACCAGGCCGTGGACTCCAAGACCCACTTCCTTACCCGCTGGACCCACGCCAAGTTGGCATTCAAAAATAATTTTAAGATTCAATCAGACTACAACCACATTCATGCAATAACCGCAACAAAGGAAACTCGAGGGATGGGTGGCTCTTTGGGGACTTGCTAAACAAACGGAATAATGTGGAATGACTAGTTAGAACTGAGTTTAATTAGCTTCCAGTATTAGTAGGTAAATGGGTATTTCCAAGATGCTTCAGAGACCCTGCAAGCATTGCGTTCTCTTCAATATCTGAAATACCCCTTCCACTCAGCACATTTCCTGGGCTCTGGTTGTCAATTAATGATGTCAAGGTGGGCTCAAAAGTCAATGGTATAAAATTTCAGTTATGCAAGATAAATAAGTTCTAGAAATCTGTTGTACAACATTGTGCCTACAGATAACAACGCTGTTTTGCACCCTTTAAAAATCTGGTAAGAGGGGAGGTTTCATGTTAATTGTTCTTGTTTTGTTTGCAATAAAGTTGTTTAAAAGAGAAAAACATCTAAATGAACTGCATTTGCATAGGCCAGTTACAGCAAAAACAATTTTATTTTCCCCTCCACGTGCTCCTAGGAAGGACCATGTCTAAAAGAGGTTAAATGCTGACACCATGGAGTGCTCAGGACTTATCCTGGCAAAGACATCAGCATCTGCTAAAAATAACCACCTATTGTCTTACCTCTGACACTACCAAGGGAGGTGACACTTACCCGCAGAAAACCAGAAAGGCAGACAGACATCCAGTTTGTGAGGAGTTTTTCTACCACAGACTCCGTGCGTCTTAGCATGAGTTTAGGCTGCATGTTACTGGACTGTTCCATCAAGTCCCTGGTCAGCACCTCCAGGATGCTGGTCAGGTAGACCAGCTTGGTTTGCAGTGCAATGGTCAAGAAGGAGGCGAACAGACACCTGTTGAAAAATAGAGCCTTGGTTACAATAGTCAAGACATCAAAACAACCCAACTGTCCATTAGCAGATGGCCAGATAAAGAAAATGTGGTATATGTGTGTTCACACACACACACACACACACACACACACACATACACACACCAGAATACTGTTCCGCCACACAAGAGAATGAAATCTTGCCATTTGTGACAACATGGATGGATCTTGCAGGCAGTATGTTAAATTAAGTCAGACAAAGACAAATACCGTATGATCTCACTTATATGTGGAATCTAAAAAAAAAAAGAAAAAAGAAAAATAACCAAACTCATGGAAAAAAGAGATCAGATCTGTGGTTACCAGAGGTGGAGAATGGAGGGGGAGTTGGAGGAAGGTGGACAAAATACAAAAACTTCCAATTAAAAGAGAAGTAAATGCTAGGGATATAATGTATAACATGGTGACTACAGTTAACACTGCTGCATAATTTGAAAGTTCCAAGAGAGTAAATCTTAAAAGTTCATTTTTTTCCTTTTTTTTTTTTTGTAGCTGTATGAGATGATGGATGCTAACTAAACTCATTATGGTCATCATTTTGCACTAGGTGTAAGGAAGATCATTATGCCGTACACCTTAAACTTCTACAGTGCTATATGCCAATTCCATCTTAATAAAACGGAGAGAGAGGAAAAAAAAGAAGATATACAGATGACAAAGAAGCACATAAAAAAAGACCCTCGGTTAATGAGGTTAACTATCAGCCATGGCTAAGTTGATGCTGATGGGAGTTTCCACGGAAACTGAGGGGCAGTGGGGTGCTCTCCTGTGGGCATGTGTGTTTTTTTAATGTCTTAGGTCAACCACCTTTGTCCTCAATTCATAAAAACCATGCACCAGTGTTCACCCCAGGACATTTTATGTGTTTTCAGCTCTTAGACTTTAAACTAGAGTGGTAAACAAGAAGTGAATGTCTTTCCCAAATTTTTAGGTGTTTTAAAGACAGAAAATAGCACTTCTGCTTTTTTGATTCAGGACTCATGTTTTTTCTTGGTGTTGGGGTTTTTCAGGGCTTTTTTTGTGGGGGAGGAGGGTATGTGTGTGTCTTCAAAACAGAATATGTGTTGGGGTCGTGTGATCCGAAGTAGAGTTATCGTGGCCTCATGACCCCGACCAGACGGCCTCTGGATAAATCCACGTTTTCAAGGGATGTAGATACCAGGTTCAGGTTGCAGTTTGGAAATAAGGAGCACATGTTTTTATTTTCTCTATTTAAAGACTTTCAAAATATAAATAAATTGACTAATACCTGTCCTTCACTGAAAAGTTCTTCTGCTTCTCAAGGGTGTGGATGACAGTAACAAGGAAACTTTTATTACAAATCAGGGCATCCAAAGCTGTGAGACTTTCATTCTTGTCAGTGGCATCTCTGTTCTGGAAAAAAAAAAATGAATATGATATGATACAATATGACATGATATAATATTAGAAACTTAAAGTTAGGAGGTAGATCCACAATGGGTTTTCCAAGACAATGATTTAATACTGAATCCATGATTCCAAAAAAACTCACAAAAATTCAATAATGAAGATGATGATGACAATGAGGACACTATGAAAGTCAGGCAGTCATGGGCTAAAAATGAAAACTTATAGACTTACATGCATATCTTCAGTGAAGATGTGTGTGAAGCCACCTGACTGAGAGGAAGGAGACACTTTTATTATTCATAACATCCAAAGGAAATGAATAGTGTATTTTTGTTACAATACCCAAGTCCGTTTTAATAAAGTAGAGACACTGTTTGCTAATCTGAAGGGCCCCTGGGCTTATGTTCATTTTATATCCTCTAATACATAATAAATAATTATTCAGCTCTCAAGAAGCACCGGTGAATTCTGAAAGCCTCTAAGAAGAATCATTATCACTGCATCAGTCCCATTTTTAGTGGAGGAAGGCATCTCACACTTTCAAAGAACAGACTCAAAAGTGAAAGAAGTGGTAAAGAAGATTATGCGAATGTGCAGACCCCTCCTTAAGCAGTTTGCCCTCTCGGGATAAATACTGAGTTGTGTCCGTAAGTTTTTACAAGCCTTAGCTTAGTAGTATCCACTGTCTCAAGAGACAATGTTATGGAGACGGGGTGAGCTGGGTGGTTAAAAGTTAGAAATCTGGAGCCAAATTACTTGGGTTTCACTCTTGGTTTTAGCACCTACTGGTCACATGACTTTGGGCAAGTTATGTAACCTCTCTGTGCCTGACATTGCTCATCCTCAAAATGAGGACACCACCGACTCCCATCTCCTAAGCTTGGTGTGAAAAGAAAATGCACACGTGCACAGTAAGTTCTATCTCAGCTATGTTTATTGCTTTTATCACTAACTTATGGCAAACTAGATCACAAAGTTATTGTCCTGCTGGCTTCTACAATTATTTTTATGTGCTATGCTATGTTGCTCCTGGATATAGACTTTTCAATTCGAGTTTCCCTTTTTAATGTATCATAAGTCTTCTTGGAATTAAAGGATTAAATTTTAAAAGCATGAGTAACACTTTAAATGAGTCAACAGAATGAAAATAAAAACTTGAACATTCAGGTTTTTCTCTTCCTCTTTTTTGGGGGTAATATTTGAAACTTTAGGCTATTTTTATACCTCGTTAAAGTAAATTTCTTCTGCAGAGAATTTTTGCTTTATAGTTTCAAATTTGTTAGCCTAAGCAGAAGACCTCAAACTATTTTGGTCATACTCTCCCTTAGTAATATGTAGAAAAATCATACCCTGGGTTTGCATTTTCTAGTTCCTAACATTTTTCTGCTGAACCAACTTGATATGGACAGACCGTTTAAACAGATTGAGTCCTGACCTTACATAGAGAAATGCCACCATGGCTCCCTGTTTTCTGAAGCTCCTTCCTCCTTTCATTTAAATTTCCCTCTTCTAGGAGATAGGATGCCTTGCTCACCCTTATTTCTCCTCCTATTTTCAGCAAAACAATGCAGTCAATACAATGAAAAGGCAGGCTTTGGAGAACCAAAAACTGGTACAGAGCCAGGAATTGGGAATATCTTGGCCTCTGTGAACCTACAATTTCCTCTGGTTCTGTCTACTGCTATCCGGTAGGTGTTGACTGCTCAAGTTCTTGGTCTACCAGCCGACCTCCAGGCCTAGAGGATGTGGCTCCTGATCCATCAGTAAAGGGCCTAATTGACACAAGGACGGATCTGCAGCCTAGAAAGGATTTCAGCTGGTGCTGTCATCACAGACTATGCTCCTCCGTCCTCTATATCTTGCATTATAAATTCGAATTTTAACTTAGGTCTTGCTAGGGTTCTGATAGTTACGCCTGTTTTTCCACTCCTCTTGTTTACTGACTTCAGTTTTCCTGGCTTTCTCAGTTGCTGTTCAAGATTATTCATAACCCTGAGTTAAGTCTGTTTGGCTTGAACAATGCGGTGGTGGGGTGGGGGGGGAGGTGAGGGACGCTGACCCTCCGTGCGGTCGAAAATTGGCATGTAACTTTTCCCCAAAACTTAACTACTAATATATTGCCTACTGCTGACCAGAAGCCTTACCAATGAACACATCTTTTGTATGTCAACTAACACATATTTTATAAGTTTTCTGTATTATATACTGTACTCTTACAATAGAGTAAGCTGGAGAAAAGAAAATGTTATTAATAAAATCATAGGGAAGAGGACATACATTTATAGGATGGTACTGTTTTATTGAAAAAAAAAAATCCGTGTGTAAGTGGACCCATGCAGTTCAAACCTGTGTTGTTCAAGGGTCAACTATATCTCTCTTCTAAAATAATACAGCATTTTTCCTGGGATTTTTTTTTTTTCCCTCAAAACACTCAACTTGCAATAGTGTCTTTTGCATTCATCACTTACCTTGCTCTTGATTACTGAATTTAGAATATAGGACAATTTCTTTTTCAGGCCACAGATTACTCTCTTCAGCACTCAAGGGCAATCATTAACTGTAAAAGCCCACACAAGCCTCATGTTGATGGTAGAAATCTCTGTTGTTTTATTGCTATTAAATTCTTAATGGGGATCTCAGATAGCTGAGAAATAGACTCATGATGTCCTGCATAGTCATCCTGATTCAGGGAATTGACCTCCCTCCCTAGGTAGTGTTCTGCTGTAGAAATGGATAGATGAGGTGGCAAATACAAGTCTTGCTGCCTGGTACTCTTGGAGGAGAAGTTTAAAAAAGTATATTGTACAAGCACAAAAAACTGAAGTCTTATTTATAGCCTTCTTGATTTACAACAGTAAGGCTTGGACCAAAAAATAAATAAATAAATAAATAAATATATGTATATATATGGCGGGTGTTTTATGGAGGTATCCCAACCTCCAGACACAGCATCACATATCATGGTGTCTGCTTCTAGAATTATAGAGAACCTGGAAATTGCTTACTGCATGTGTCTGTGTTTCTGAACTCTAGGCTTCTGGCCAAATGTAGCTGAGAAGCTTCTGGTAAGGTGATACCAGCTCTGTTTTGACCTGGCTTTGCTTAGAAGTCTAGACTGAAATATGATCATCTGTGTTGATGTTCCAGAGGTTGGGCCCCTCTGTGGTCACCAGTTCTGGACAAAAAAGGGCAGCATGGTGAAGTGGGGGCATCAGGATGTGGAGGTGATGACAGGCAGATGAGTGCCCTTTGCTCAAGACTTGGGAGTGTAAAGGAGGAAGGTTGAGTGGGTAGGGGAGAAGATGGAGGTGTCAGAACAGAGCGAGACCGAAAACCCAAAGGGTTAAAGGAGACTGCTCCTCGGAGTCCCAGGATGGCTTAATCAATCATTTCGTGCAGCTATTTCTGCTAAATGAGGATGATATGGACTGATCAGCAGAAGAACAACTGCTGCAGAGAACCATTAAGAACACAACATTGCTAAAGATGCCTGCTATCAACTCAAAGTCTATACATGTCTCCCTCCCTCCCTCTCGGCCCATAGTACTTTTCATTTCCAACTGAGAAATAATAGTGAATAATCTAGTAGCTGCAATGGAAGTCATGCAGATAAACACAACAAATTGGCCAGCCCACAATTTATTGATTTTTAAATGAACTAGCTCGCTTCCCAACTACAAATTCAGCTCTAAACAGGTAGTAAAACAAAACAAAAATCATCACTCTGAACTTCTGTCCCTCCTAGGTTTTTGTTACTGGACAAAGAATAATCGTCAGTGACCCATCACTGCTTTATACCCTAATCAATCCAATTAATAATTACCCTTCTCCCAGCTCTGCTCAGACGTAAGCCCTTATTTCGCACCAAGCACACTATCTACAGCCACCTTGGAAGCAAACACCTGTTCTGACGACAGCAACAAGCACCTTCGTTATTATTCAAGACTCAACCTTAGGAATATGATCAATGCTCTTTTACCTCGGGGAAGAAAGTTCTCAGAGCAAAATGTTTGTAGTCAAGGAAGGGAACAGTTCCAAAACTATCAACCACATCCAATTTATCCATCTGCAGCTCAGCAAAGCCTGCAAAACAGAATCCCAAGAGCAATACTTTAACTCAACAAACAATGGATAAGATCTTCTGCTGTTTTGTCTAACATGGAGGATGACCTTGGTTTTCATTAAAGAAGAAACAAGAGATAATTACTTGGTTGGCTGCAGAGCAGGGCTGGAATAAACACAGAGCCAGGCCTAGACCCTGCCGCTCAGATGTCTTCTATTATACAAACAGTTCTCATTACTGTGGCCAGCTCCATTTGGGGGGGGGGGGGGGATGATAAAAAAAAAAGGCTTGTTTTTCCACAAATAAAATTTTGGAGCCTACCATCACGTATCTCTTTCCGGAGCTCACTCTCCAGGAGCTCCAGCTGTTGGCTCTGTTTGCGGCTCAGCTCCTTCGATTTGTGCCTGGTTACCCCCACAGCCGCTGAGGAGACAGAGATCTAGTGTCAGACTGACATGTTAACTTCAAAAACAAAAAGGAAAACGAAGTCAACCTTGACATTTCTTTTACAGAGACAGAGGAAGAGAGAGAAAGAACAGCATTTAAGAGGTGGAATTTCTAAAAGGAAAAATTCCCAGTGAGGGGACACTCTAAAGAGGAAGATGCTAAAGCGCAACAGGAAAACAAAAAACTACCCACCTTAAAGTAAAAACTAAATCAAATAACCTCCACTTGTAACCAAAGATCCCAGCTGGCTGAAAAGTAATGAAATAAGCCACGTTTCCCTGCAGCCACAGGCCGCTGATATTGTTCCATTCTTTTTTCAATGTTTCTAAACATCCCTGGAGAAATAAAGCTGAGCCACAACTGCAGAAGGAAATCACAGATCCACGCTCTGTAAGCCAAACTTGCATAGATCAAGTTGGCTGATATGGGGAGAGGTCCACAATGAACCCTTGGAACTGGGACATGGCTTCTTTCCCCACTTCGTCTTGCTGCTAACTGTGCTTCTAACTGAGACAGTGCCCTGAACAGGCTTGGTACTCGGTTCACATCCCCACTCTGCCAATTATGAGCTGTGTGACTTCAAGTAAGTTCCTTAGCATCTCTGTGCCCGGTTGCCTTATCTGTCAAAGGGCCCACACCTCACTGTGATGTTGAGAGGACTGCAAGAAGCAACCCACAGAAAGCATTCAGAAGTTGTTCTTTAAAAAGAATATTCAACAACTGTCAACTACATTATTATTCTGGAAAAGATTTTCCTCCTTCAACAGCAACTTCATGATAAAAGGACCCACTACCAGTAGATACGAATGATCCTGGAGGAAACAAAACTCAGTAGGGTTCTTCACTGGACCATTTCACAAAGTCAACAGTCTTCACCGTAACATGCATTGTGCATCTTCAAAAAAGGGTGGGGCGCACAGTGATTTCCAAATTTATGTGACCACGGAACCCCTTTCTCCGGGAGCATGATTTGGGGTTAGCGTTCCTCAGGCCACACTTCAGGCTACAGGGGCTCAGGGCAGGCAAAGGGAATGAGGCAGCCACATCCAGCCAGCAGTGGGTTTTTGATGGCTGACGTCTCCAGGGGAAGCCACAGTGGGGATGTTTAGAAGGTGGCAGGCCTAGGCCAGGGTGCTTCGTGTTTTCACTAATGACGTGACAGATGGGTTAAAATATTTGTACACTTTACACCTGCTCAAGCTTCTGGTCACACATGCTGGCCTGGAATCATGGCAAGAAGGGGATGAGAATTTTAAAGGGCAGCTACCAATGAAGCCAAAGCCATGGGTCAAACTGAGCCCACCTCACCATAAAAAGCACAAACAGTCTCTATGACAGTGCGGGGATGGGAGGGGTGAGTCACACACGGCACAGGAAGAGATCAGAGACTTCTAGTAAGTCACAAAGTGGAGAGGATTCTATGGGGAGACTGGTGTCTACAGATGCTTAACACTAGCAGATTCTCAAAATAGAGCTCAGCACTTAGAATTTATAAGTAATCTTCTTACTCGAAGCCAGTGCCAGCCAGAACATTATTAAAATATCAAGCCCAATTCTGGATTCCAGCTATAGAGCAGGGGTGGTCAACTGGAGAAGCAGCACAAGAAAATACCTGAAATGATCATCAGCAGGGCAAAAGAGGGCCTCTGCAAAATGAATTCATTCCATTGGGCCAGTTCATCACACACAGAAGTCTTTCCCTCTCTGGACTGAGAACCCGCCAGGAGAAAGGGCCAGGCCTTCCCTCGTGCTGTCCAGCTCCGGAGGCTTGCGCAGTTATCAGCAACACAACGTGTGTTCATAGACACAAGGTAAGTGGATGCGGGGATGGATGAATGAAGGAGTGCATGGAAGGGAACAGGAGCAACTAGTAACAGAGCGTTGGAAAGGCAACGCCTGTGTTAAATCAACGTATGTGAAGTGTTCTCTTAGTTGGTGGAGAGGAGTTCTATTTCTGAGATGGACAAGAGGAACCAGACTTTGGATGAAAAGCTGCTCAGAACCAGGTCGCACACTAAATGGCTACAGGGACCAGGTAGGCAGATGAGTCACGTGGCCCAGGTGGAGACAACAGGGAGTGGTGGGGACTTCAGCAAAACCCCAGCGCCCACATGCTCTCTCAAGGGGCGGCTGTCATTCAGTTCCAGGAAACCGATGCTATGGAAAAGTGGAGATCCAATGATCCAGAGCTTTCAAATTTTCAAGAGATATTTTTAAAAATGTGAATCAACTTTTTTTTTTTTAACTGAAGTACAGCGGACACAAATGTTACGTTGATTTCAGGTGTAGAACATAGGTGACTCACCTAATTTTAAAATGCCGTCAACTAGTTCACAGTTTTAAAAAAAAATGCTGTGCGGGCCAAACAAAACAGATTGTTGGGCCAGATTCAGCCCGCGAGCAACCACCCTGGGATCATCGTGCTCGGATGAGCCTTGCGATATTTTAATAGATGGTACAAATCACGCTTCTAAAACATAGTTCTGCCAGGAAAAGCAGAGCTGGGGTGGGAGCAGGGGGTGGTGTTTGGTGAGGTGAGAAGGCAGGAGGAGATGACCAGATTGTGAAAGTCCAAAATGCCAGAGGAATTCTGAAGGAATAACGTAAATGGGAGATTTGTAATCGCCATTCACAGTACTGGGGAAGTGAGTTGGACTATATTTCTCAAACACCAAGACGCCATCTTTGCAATCCAGCTTTGTATCGATGAGGAATCCTAAAAAATGGTTAGAAAGCCCTCAACATGTACCTATGATTCCTTTCCCAAAGTTGTGATTTGGGTTTTTACCCATCAATACTCAACTGAGGCAAACAGCCCCTGAAAGCTGAGAGTCTGCCTGCCTGACGAGAGGCCCCAGGGAATCATTTCTCTGACAAAATCAAACAGGGCACTTACCAAAGATGACAATCACTAGCAAGACGGGAAGCACAATCAGAAAATACCAAGTGGTTGGAACTGTTTCCTGCTCAACGTAGAGCTCCAAGTTTCCCAGTTTGACCTAATGGGACAGAAAGTCATTAGACTCAATTGAATTGGGCGCCATATTTATGTACACACTTTTTCCTCCAAATTGTTTTCCCCAAGATACAAAAAGGTGACAAGCTAGGTAGGATATATGAATTCAAGTCCCAGCTCAGGCAGATTGGCTCTGTGAACTTGAGCACATTGAGAACATTCACCGTGCCTTGATTTTCAGATATGTCACAGTTGAGGTGCACTGGACTATACCTGGAGATTTTAGAATTGAGTTCTCTTTGCCCTAGGGGTTTAACTCAGCCATCCCATCCTTACTTTCCTCATCTCTAAAGTGGGATGTAGATAGTGCCTCTTCGTAGGGTTGTCGTGAAGACTAAATGTACTTCATCATTTGAGTGAGTGGCTCATGGTAGTCCTCCCAAAACTCTCCAGTGGCTTCCCAGAGCTCAAAGCCAAGCCCTTGTGATGGCTCACATGTTCCTTTTTTTTTTTTTAAATTTTTCCCCAAGATTTTATTTATTTATTTGAGAGAGAGAGAGAGAGAGAGATCACAAGCAGGGGGGAGGGGCAGAGGGAGAAGCAGACTCCCCGCTGAGCAGGGAGCTCGATGTGGGACTTGATCATGACCTGAGCTGAAGGCAAATGCTTAACTGACTGAGCCACCCAGGTGCCCAGCTCCTCGCTCCCTCTGGTAACTCTCCAGCCTCCTTGAATATTCCCCCTTGCTCCCTCTGCTCTAGCCACACTGGCATCCTTTTTGCTCCTCATGTTAAACCTGCAGGTCTAGAACCCTCTACCCCAGAGAGCCCATGGCTCACTCCCTCTCCTCCTTGAGGTCCTTACTCAAATGTCATCTTCCTAAACAGATCTTGGCTGCCCACCCTTGCACACCTTGCAGCACTGCCTGTCCCTGCTTCATGCTTCTCCATGGCGATCACCACCACCTCACACATTTTCATTTACTTTCTTCACTCCATGTGTCTTTAGGTAACCCCCACAAAGGCAGAACCTGGGGTCTGTTTTCTTCTCCGCTGTGTTCCCATCATAGAAGAGGCCCTCAGGGACCATTTCACGACTAGAGATTGCTAGCGTTACTCTCCTCACCCGGTGTGACATGTGGGGGCACTTGTGAGTTCAGTTATGTTACTGATTTGATAATAATTAGTACCCTCTTTATCACACAGATGGACCACTGGAGGCTCAGCCAAGCCAAGCGACTTACCTAAGGCCATGCAGCTATTAGCTGGTGCAGCTGGGACATGAACACATTTTTTTTTTTTTTGGTCTTACAGTCTGATGTTCTTTTTTCTTGACTTTTATTCAATATTTATGACTACAGATCATAAAGCATTTTGGGGGGGTATAGACTGTGGAGAGCCTCATATGGCATGAACACCATAAAGAAAGACTTCTAATATGGTTCTGTTCCCAAGGGTCTCACATCTTTATTGTGGGACATAAATATACCTCTGATGGGACCCTCAAACATGTCAGGAGGAGATGAATTGCGGCATGACTCCATGACAGAGGAAGCAGCCCCCGGCCCAGAGATCATCTGGTCTCCATCAGAATTGGATGCTACTCTGAATGTGCTGGGTTTCCGCTAAGACATGTCATCCCTACATTTGGCAAAAGAATGATAGCTCGTTCGTCCGAGCTATCTCGGACGATTCTGTGTGCAGGTGCTACGGTCTAAATGTATGGCTAGAACAAAACTATCAAGACTCATTAGTATTATAGACAATGGTGTGTTCAGTGCTTTGACATTCGAATGGGCACATGGATGGATTCGACCCGCTCTTTTGGAGGAATTACGCTTGCGCCTGCAACAGCAGCTTTGTTTATCTGCTATTTAAAGTGAAGATCTAAAGATCCATAACAGATGCCATTCTGGCTTCAGTGTCACTGAGAAGTGCCCCAAATAAGGTACAACCAACAGGTAGGAGTGTCAGGTGACTTACGCGAACTTTCTTGGAAGAGGTGTCAATGCTGTTTGCGTTACTGATGCCCTTAATTTTGCAAAGGATGATGGTGAGATCTTGATTTCTCGTAATATTTTCAAAACTGCAATTTAATTGCTCATTTTCCCCGTGGAAGAGGGTGATTTCAATGTCTGTCTTGGAGATGTTGAACTCATCGTTTTCTTTCTGTGAAGAACAAAGAGGAGATGAAGTAATGAGGGCGCCGGAGGGAACCCACAGACACAAGCACACCTTGCCCATCAAGGCGGGGGGCGTGTCCCACCCGAAGGAAGTGAGAAACATACTTGAATTTTCACTTCCAGTTCTGTGTCCCCCTCGGGTTCGACCCGACACCCTGTGAACCTGGGGTCCTCAAGATACTGCAGGCTTCCGCAGTCCAAGTAGGTCTCCTGGACTCTCAGCTTCACAGTGACGTTTGTACGCGCTTTTGAACTCTTTAAACTGGGGGCTAAAAACCTGCAGGAATTCGCCATACAATATTCAGAGACCTGAGGGAGGAGAAAAGAGCATTTTTAAGAACTTCATTACCGAGCCCCAGCCCTGCGATGGAGGAGCGAGGTAACCCGGACAACTGAACTTCTCGGTGCTCCCAATTTCTCATCTGTAAAATGGGGAGAGTGATACTACCCTCCCCTCACAGGGCTGAATGAACCCGAAATCAAATTAAATGCAATGAGGGCTCATTCAACTAAATGGGGGCTAATTTACATGGGATTACATGTGCAGAAATGCTTGGAATCATGCCGGGCACCCAGTCAGCACTCAAGGAACCCTACTTGCTATCACTGCGAACACACTTAGCGGTAATGGGGGCAGCCAGAGGTCATGCAACGGAGAAGGGATGTGCAGAGAGAAGAGCCTAGCGTAAGAGGGACACGCGGCACCAAAGACTTTGCAGGGTCTGTGTGTCCTGGAGCCCTCGAGGTGGGTTGGGAAATGCGGGCAGGGAGGGGAGCACCCCCCAGGGAGGCCGCAGGGAACTGCACACCACCGCCGGATGCATCCGTCCTTGTCGGGGAACGTCCCCTGGCGCTTAGCGGAAGTCACTGACCCCAAGTGAGGAAAAGGTTTTGCAGGCCTAACAGGAAATCAGGGAAGCAAAAGCAAAAGAGACAATGTGGGCCCCCAGGAAAACGTGGAGCATGAAGGCTGGAAAGAATACAGAAAGTGTGGCCTGCTTCACAGCTTTATTTATTAAAAAAAAAAAACAAAAACATAAATACTGTCATTTTTAGGGGTGCAGAGAGATGGACACAGAAAGCCTCTGGAAAAGAAGAGGTTGACAAAGGTCTTAAAGAAGAACAATAAGGGGCGCCTGGCTGGCTCAGTCTGTGGAGTGTGCAACTCTTGACCATGGGGCTGGGAGTTCGAGCCCCACGTTTGGTATGGCTTGCTTAAAGATAAATCTCAAAAAATAAATAAATAAATAAATAAATAAATAAATAAATAAATAAATAGCAATAAAACTTGTGAAAAAAAAATTTGTCAGGTGGGAGTTTACCTGTTTTTTACTTTCTAATATTGGTGGTAAAAAGAGAGGGTAGGGGAGCACCTGGGTGCCTCAGTTGGTTAAGTGTCTGACTTGATTTCAGCTCGGGTCATGATCTTGGGGTTGTGGGACTGAACCCCACATCAGGCTCCGTATTCAGCATGGGATCTGCTTGGGATTCTCTCTCTCCCTTTCTCTCTGCCCTGCACCCCCATATGCTCTCTTTCTCTAAAATAAAATAAATAAATAAATCTTAAAAAAAAAAAAAGAAAGAAAGAAAAAGAAAAGAGAGAGTAGGAAGAGGCCATAGGTGGGAAGATCTGATGCAAGGGGCTGAGATAAACAAAACCTCCTTCCCCCTTAACACCTGTCCAGCCCTGGATCTCTCGTTCACATTTCTGGCGATATGAAGAACCAAAAAACAGTGTGTGTTCACATTGTGGAGACGTGGCCTAGAATCAGATACAAGGTGAGGCCTGGAACTGGCGCTGGGTGTGTCAGGAGGCGGATGTGTGTATGACGAGGCTGTAAGGGTGACTCAGGAAGGCTGTCTGTGCCTAGGCCCAAACCCACACTGGTCCCAAGCACGGCCATGTCTGTGGCCACAGGCAGACCAGCCAGCTTTGGCAGGAAGTGGTCAGGTGGGGCCCGGAGAGGCTGTACCTTCACATCTCTTGTTGAGGAAGGAGAGAAAGGGGAAGAGAGAATGGGGAGAGAATTCGAGAAGAGGGTAGGAGTGTACTTGGAGGCCCCAACCTGTATCTGAAATGCATCATTTTGTGTGACGAGGCCCTCCCGTGACTCCTGTGGGTGTTAGCAAGTGGACAAGGGCTGGGGACCAGACCCTTGTGTGGGGACATGCAAGGTAAGAGGAGGCCAGGTGAGAAGGAAAGGGACCAAGCCAGACAATGGCAGGAGCAGGAGGAATATATGACAAGATTTCTGGGACTCGGGCAGGTCACTTGGCCTCCACACCACAGCTCTGTGGGCACGATGGGAACTTCACCACTGACTGCACAGAACTGCTATTCTTCTGGACATCTCACCTTTGCCCCTCACAAGGCATTTTCACATGTATTCCTAAACGCTGTCTCATTAAAGTGCCTCCCTAAAAAGCCCAGCTGGCGGAAATGGGAGGCCTTGTCATACCAACCTCATTCCTCTCTCCTCTGCACCACAATTGGAAATATTCCACTGCAAGGAGAAGGTCTTATTATTTCCATTATAGCCCAGATGGTGTATATCCCCCAACAGGTAAAAGCTTGTAATATCACAAAGGCACAGAAATAAAAGATATTCCCCAAGAGATGTTCGTGTGATGAAAACAACATCATCCTTGAAAATTACTATTATTACAAGGTAGCTGAAGACTTACATTTATGTTTCCTTTTAACTCATGTGAAACGATTAAGTTGTCAATTACGTCAAAATTTCTGCCCACGATAGTTATATTTTGACCACCACTGCAAAGAGAAAAAGCAACAACAGGAGTTTCATAGTAAACATACAGGCATTTTGCATTTATGAACAAAGCTATCACCTTATTCACACTTAAACTCAGTTATGTTTGAGAGCCAAGTAATACATTTTAATTTCCAATGCAGGACAATTCTAGAAGTCTTTTAATGATGCTGGCCACAAATGTATAGTTTTTAAGATACATAAATATAAAAATTCAGATCAGATCCTGTTTTAATTCTAGGAAAATGCCCAAGTTCTTTTACAGAATTTGGAGCTTTGCTGTGTCATGTTGCCACATATAATCAGATCATCGGCTATACCCTGAAAAGGTTTCACTAAACAGAATTTTGTTTGATTGCTGTTTAATCTATATTAAGATACTTCAATCTAACAATTTTCAAAATCAAACTCCCAACCTACCAATTATACTTTATTTAGGGAGATAGGGAACATTTTGGACAAGGTAAAATTATAAATGACATTAAAACTATAAATTCCCATTTGGTAGGCCATATAAATAACAGCTACGTTCTCTCTCTCCAAAACCAAGCCAAATGATTTCACATATTCTCACCACATAATCGCATATAAGCAAAGTGGTCATTAGATGTGAAATAAACAGCTGTCCACAGCTCTGGCTGCCCTCGACCCCCCCCCAACCCCCTGCCCCGTTCATGTAGGTCATTCCAGGGGACAGGAGCCTGGGAATGTCCGCTCTGTGCGCCAGCTGGGCCCAGCCAGGATGACAAGACCTCGAGGTGAGCATGAGGCGGCCAATTTGTGTAGGACAGAAGGAAGACATTAGGCCCCGAACCAGTCACAAGGGGGAAGGGTCAAGCTGGCCTCCTGCCAGCCTGTCACCATTACTAGAAAGCGGAGCCGAGCACGCTCTGCCGACGGCCAGACTGCAGAGCCTCGCCCTTGCCCGGGCATAACTCAGAGTCACGGGCTGAGAATAGCACAGATGACTGGACACTAAGAAGCCTAATCGGATCGGGGCGCCTGGGTGGCTCAGTTGGTTAAGCGACTGCCTTCGGCTCAGGTCATGATCCTGGAGTCCCGGGATCGAGTCCCGCATCGGGCTCCCTGCTCGGCAGGGAGTCTGCTTCTCCCTCTGACCCTCCCCCCTCTTATGTGCTCTCTCTCATTCTCTCTCTCTCAAATAAATAAATAAAATCTTTAAAAAAAAAAAAAGAAGAAGAAGCCTAATCGGATCACTACGCTGTGCACTGGAAACTAATATAATATTGTAGGCCAACTATACTTCAATTAAAAAGATAATAAAGAAGCCTCTTATTTGATGGCAAAACAGAACGCTGGTGGCTCAGAGCACAGCAGCCTGGGCGCCCAAGCAAGTCGTTTGAATGCTCTATGCCTCAGTTTCCTCTCCTGCTAAAGGGGCTACTGCTAGTCCTTCTGTGACCATTAACTGAGTTACTAGATGTAACACACAAGGCATGTGGGGAGTGCCACGTCAATGTTTGCTTTTATTTATAGGAAGGATTTAGACCCCGAGCGGGGAGTGCAGTGCTAGAGGCTTGGTTTAGAAATTTCCGGTTTTCTCATGCCACTGTTAGAGGCAGAACTGGTGAAGTCCCAACCCCCCAGTCCCTTGGAATTTGACTGTATCTGAAGACAGGGTCTTTAAAGCGGTAATTAAGATTAAATGAGGTCATTGGGGTGGGCCCTAATCCAATAATATGACTGGTGCCCTCATAAAAGAGGAGATAAGGACACAGTCACAGAGGGAAGACAACGTGAAGACATAGGGAGGAAACCATTTATCTTCAAGCTAGGAAAAGAAGCCTTGGAAGAGACCAACCCCAACATCTGCCTCTGAACACTGGACTACAAGTGTTTTGCTCCTGTTTTTTCTTTTTTTTTTAAAAAAAACAAAGGTTCATCTACATTTTCATCTAGACAGTACTTTGAAAATCAGCTTCATGCTGTGTTAGGTGAAATCTCTTATTATGAAAATATCTTTAGGGTTATATTCCAAATCCAATGTGAATTTAAATTCAACTAGGCAGACAATTTTTTTTTTTTTAATATACTGGAGTCATCTGGAAGAGTTTATTTTGGAATGTCAATCTCTCTCTGAGGGAGTATCTTTGAAATGTAGATACTGCTTTTCATTTAGATAACTCCCAATATTTCCTCGAATTATTCAAAACAGCTTACTCTAAAGGTTATAAAATGAAAGTTGTAAGAGAGAAGCTTTGTGTCACAGGCAGGGGTGAGATGTTGTATATTTGTATTGGAAACGTAGGCTAAGAGTAGGTACCTCAATGAAACGAACATTTTAAAAGGCAAAAGACTTATACAATCTGACGAGAAACCATAGTATGAACACACATATTAGCTGTGAGCTTCCTGGCAGCCACAGCTCAGAGGAAAGCAGGATATGCTCACAGTGTTCACGGGGACAACTGCTGGTCAGGTATGTGTGTGTTTTCTAGGAATAAATCCTAAGGGGACTTCTGTGAGAGGAATTTACATAGGACTATTATTTCTATATTTATCTGAGTGAAATCCATGATCTTTATGCATATGACCCTTTTCTTTTCTTCTTCTTTTTTTTTTTTTTAAGAGAGGGAGAAAGAGAGAGCAGGATGGGGGGAAGGGGGCAGAGGGAGAGAGAGATCATCTTAAGCAGGCCTCACACCCAGCATGGAGCCCAATGTGGGGCTCAATCTCACAACCCTGAGATCATGACCCCTTTAAACACAAAGACAGAAAAGTATGAATCCAGAAAGCACCTGATCCAGGTGGTGGCAGGGTATATGAGGGAACAGTGTGGCAGAGCAATATACGACAAGGGTCCCACAGATGTACAGTTCCCGCCGTCAAACTGGATACACACATCCTTCATTTCTTTTCGGCTTGATGGTAGAGAGAATTTCATATGGGTGTCATTTAGCACATGGCTAACCTGTATCCTAGAAAAGGGCAGAAAAACAACTCTTAAAGGACCCAGACGCTTAGCATAGTTGGCTTCTGAACATGACTGTGTATGAATTTTACTTGAACTGCAACAGTTCACAAACTATCAGAGTAGTTGGAGGCAACTGCTGGTTCATCAGAGGCCCCTGACCACTGTGGGCATCATCTGGGGCAGGGGTCCTCTTTCTTCTATGCATTTTTATGTTTCTTTTATGTTTTTGCATTTACCTTAGAAATGGGGAAAGGAGAAGTCCTAACAGAAAGTGGAACATGGACTGGGTACTAAGTTGTACTAAGGAATTCCTGTTAATTTTGCTGAGTATGAGAACGGCACTATGCTCATCTGCTGGAGACATATACTGAGATGTGTGTGAGGGAAAGGATACGGCATCTGCAATATGCTTACTCCAGGCACCATCCGTCCCTCCCCTCCAAAAACGAAATGAGACTGGCAAAATGTTGCTAAGTTTTGGAGGTGGAGGATGGGTACAGAGAGGTTTGATGCACTCTTCACTCTTGGGTATGACTGGAAATTTCTGTAATGGAAAGCTTAAAAAAAGAGAAGTTCCAGTTGAGCGGTAGAAGGGTAGAACCCCATCCCAGGCAGAGATAGAAGATCCTGCCATTCGGAGAGCAGAGAGCCCATGACCAGAGTCTATGCCAAGAATCCAGGGGTCTCGGGGTTCAATCAGCATCAGAGCGAAGCTGCCTCCCAAGGAACTCCAGATGAGAAATTAGTTGGGACTATCCTGGGTGCTTCTGACATCCACAGGACCTGCCTTTGACACCCTTCAGGGGACAAAGCAAAGCCTTCTACATTATTCCCTCTGTAACCTGCGCTTCCTCTGTACATCACATCTACAATGAGCCTCTAAAGCAAAAAATCATTAAGGCTGGGTTGTGCTGAATAATGCTCAGTATGTTACGTGTGAATCTACTGTTACTAAAGGATATGTGCATGATTATTAACGTTAACGCACATACCCTTTACGTAGTAATAATAAATCCTAACAATAAGGTAAGTTCAGAAATCATCTGAGTCAGTGTGTAGTCACACTACCTAGGATTTACATTCTAAACTTTATATTCAGAGCCACGCTCTAGGAAATTCATCGTAAAATGGCTGATCATTAAAATCTAGGCTTGTTTATAAATTTTGGAAGGAGAGAGGGGGAAATGTGGGTCGTTCTGCTATTATTCTTGTATTTTTCCCTTCAGAATAATAAGGCATTTGAAGAATACCTTATGAAAAGAGTTTGGGATTATGGCATGAACTCAGATATAGGATTAACTGGGTATTATGTTTACTTCTCGTGAACTTGGGTTCACCACTCTGATGTGGTTACTGAAATGCTACATGCAGAAAGGCCTCTGAGTCATTTAATTTAATAACTGCAGTATCTTGAGACACATTCAGAATTGAAATGAGAGCATAGAGAGTCCAAAATAGGGTAATGCTCTGAACACCAACTTATTTTCCGGTGAAGGTGATTGCCTTTCAGTGAACACACAGGTGTCGAACTTCACAGATTTTGCTACACATAATGAAAGATTTTCACAATAAGGTATTTAGCCAGGACCAACGGCACAAAAATGCCCATGCTGCAAAGATATAGCTGCTGATGTGTGCTGGATAATTCTGGTAAATAGCAGAGCCACCCATGAACAGCTTTCTCCATCAAGATGACAGGCATCCCAGATTTACTGTGAGGAGGGGGAAGAGGACGGCAGTTATATGCAGCAAATGAATTAAAACAGAAAATTCAGTAAATAAGTGTGGCCGATTAAAATGCTGTACAAATCTGTTGTAGTAGTTAACAACCAAAACACCACGCTTCAGCACATTGTCTCCAATGCATTTCCATGATGAGAACGAGCTCAGTGTTACATTTCATATAGACCGTGATGCCTTTTACTTCAAATTAACCCAAACTTATAAAAGCTAACAAGCAGAAAACTCAAATTGTCTATTGTGTTATTATTATGACATCTCTCTTGGGGGTAACATTTGCACAAGGATGTCAGGGAGACACTGAAAAATTATTTTCTCTCCAAGTTTCATTGAAAGGATGAGTTAGGGGGAAAGAAGTGATAGAAATAATGATATTCAAATGGTACACTGACCAGATATCTGTGTTGGGGTGTTTGGTCTTTTTTTCTTTAACTACTAATACATGCTCCATTTAGTTTATTTAGCCTGACACCAATCCAATGAAGAGAAGGCTACAAAGAATAAAACAGATCAGGAAATTTCTTTTTCCAATCTTGAGTGATACTTTGGAAGAGCTGTCCTATCTTACCATCAAAGTCCTAAGTATGCAACTATTTTTCTAAGGGGATCATCTTCAAGATGATGTTTGCTACTCAAAATACTTGATTTTGTTAATGGATATAAATCAAGACCTCAAATAGGCAACACCCTGAGGTTTTGGGTGGTAAGAGGGAACAGATTCTCTCACAATTAACTTCAAATGTGGTGTTTAAAATATTCTGCTTCTTGAAATTATGTCTTATCAAATATGCAGACCGATGGCCCACTTTGGCCCATGGCAATACTTTGAAAAGATTATAGTCACAATGATATGCCTCTGGCATAAGTTTGAGCTTTTTACTATATTATCAAGGATAAATTACTATTATGTCAACTTACACATCCTTCTCGCAAGTACTGGTTCCTTTCAGGATCATCGTAATGTTGGATGCCTGGGTAAAGTTTGCCCCCGTGACGATCACGTTACTTTTCCCTAAAGTCGATATCTTCTGTGGCTCAATGGACTTAATGTAAAAGACCTGTTGGAAATAAAGATTCACATACAAGATCAAAGCTAAGAAATGGCATTGTTCCAAAAAATCTGTTTATGCGCTGCCGTTCGAAGAAATCACTGGGAAATTACAACATTTTGCAAACACAAGCAGACAGTGTTTAATGAAATCAATGAATTCAAGGAAGAGTGCTGAAGATTCATGTCTCTCAACATGCGACACCGTGAGGTCAAACCAATTAGTCTTCATCTCACAAGACAGTTGAAAATACAGTTGAAGAGTCTGACATTCTGTCTGAAGAGTGAGATCTCACAGAGTCTCGAAAATACTCACTACCTTACAGCCTCTGGAGGCTCACCGTACAACAACATGAAGGGAAGGACAAGGAGTCTGCTGGCGCTAGGCCCACAAGCATCATCAGTAAGCTGGAATAAACATCATTCTGGATAAATTTAATTCCCTAGAAAGTAGTGCCTATTTTTTTGTCTGTCTCAGTTGGGCTATTCGTTTTTTTTTGTGTTTTTTTTTTTTAAAGATTTTATTTATTTGACAGAGAGAGACACACAGTGAGAGAGGGAACACAAGCAGGGGGAGAGGGAGAGGGAGAAGCAGGCTTCCCGCAGAGCAGGGAGCCCGATGCGGGACTCGATCTAAGGACCTCGGAATCATGACCTGAGCGGAACGCAGATGCTTAATGACTGAGCCACCCAGGCACCCCGCAGTTGGGCTATTTGAATCAAGGAGTATACTGCAGGGAAAAACTTCAAGAAATCAACCCAGTCAGCCACCTAATACCCAGTAGTCAGATGCCAAACCACTGTGGTCAACTGTTTCTTCTCCAGTGGTACCCATTCATGTAGGCTTATGCACCTTACTTCTCTGTTTGCAATGTCTAATCAAAATCTCCTTAAAAGTCTGACTCTTGGTTTTGGCTCAGGTCATGATCTCAGGGTCGTGGGATCGAGCCCCACGTCGGGCTCTGCACTCAGCATAGAGTCTGCTTGGGATTCTCTCTTTCTACCAACCCCTTCCCCCCCGCCCCGCCACTCATGCTTTCCTTCTCTCTCTCTTTCTCAAATAAATAAATAAAATCTAAAAACAAATCAAGTATTCCACACAGCTAAAAAAAAAAAAAAAAATTACAAATTCTCCTTAAAAGAAAAAGGCCTTTATTTGATGGCAAGAATCACTTTCCCTTTCAAAGATGAGACAATCCTGATTTCTTTCAGTTTTCTTCTACAGATGTTACCGTCTATCGTTTTGATCATTTTGTTGTTCTTCTGTAGACCATTTCCAGCATGTCTGTATTCTTCTACAATATGGTGACCAAAACAGGACAGAAAACTCTGCTTCTGGCCGATATAAAGTACAGCAGATCTTTAGCATGAGAGCATTTCATACTCACACTCTTGACATTTGGAAACAACCTCCAGGGCCAGAGACACAAAACCAGGTGAAATCGGGCTACGCCATAGATGCCAAATGTATCCGCGTGGAGGATCAAGTCTAGGCAGAAGCCTCTGACAGCCCTGGGAGGGCATCAGTCATGCCCAACCCCAGCCTACACCTGCTTCCTGAAGCAGCCTACTATTCTCCGCTCCGTTGTATGTGGGATGCAACGATGGACTTTCGGGGCTGTTCGGGCTGACCCGCCCGCTGAGAGGGAGGTCTGATTCCGCTCCTCGGCAAACACGGGTGCTGTACGGTGGAGCGGCCGCCGTCGCCCGTCAGCACTACGGACTGGTTCTGCCGACGGAGGTGAATCCCTCGTTCGTGTCATCACAGCAATGATGTAACGTGACAGAGAGTGGATTTCAGGGGCAGAATTTCTTTAATCACTCAGTAGAGGACTTTCGCCCCATATTTATAGAATCATGAAGGGTCTGAAAGGGTCACTTTGATTATTCTGTTATACTTGACTGCATTTTATGGGGGGAATTATCTGCAAGAGTGGTACTTGGAATGGGGGGGTCAGCGAAGACTGCCAGGTAAATCCCTTGCAGATGTCAAGTGTGTGCCAGACAGCTGAAGGCTTGCTCTTCGCCCTGACTCGGTGACAGCTAAGTGAACACGTGTTTACTGAGCATGTACGGGGTCCCCGGAAGAGCCCCACGTGTGTGGGGGACACATGATCTATGCACGCGCCAGAGCAGGAACTGGCCACCTAGTGGCTTTGCCTGTACCAAGCCAAATCCAGGCCACCGCTTGCGTTGTATGGCCCGTGAAGGAAACGTCAAAAAAGTAACAACATTCCATGACATGCGAAAATACATGAAATCCCGATCCTGGCGTCCACAAATGGAGAGTTTCTGGCCCGCAGGACACCCATTCGTGGACGTGTTGCCAGTGGCTGCTAACACCACAGCAGGGCGGAGCCGCGGGGCTCCCGAAGCCCAGCCCATTCTCCGTCTGGCTCTTTGTCGGAAAAATGGGCCAACCCCTGCGCAGTAGAAGGCCTCTGCCTCCTTAGGGCGGAAAGAGAGCCTGCGGTTTTGTTTTATGTAAATCCCAGCAAAGACTCCCATTTACACCCAAGTCCACTGTGATCCCCATGGTTCTTTCTGGGCAGCCCTTCTGGATTCCTGTACTTAGACTGTAATATCTGTTCCAGAAAGACTCTCGCACACCCCAAGTAAGTGCTACTTCTCTACTCTTGGGAGAGGATAAAAAGAACCTTATAACTAATGTAAAAAAAAAAAATTTTTTTTAAGGGGGTTATATTTTGCTTCTTAAACGGTTCTATAAACACCATCAGTGGACCCACCACGTTGCCTTATTAACTTTTTATTTCTCCTGAGCAGAGACAGCCCTGCTACTTCAAGAGGATTTTATTTTTAAACCTTATTGTTTAGAGAAGTATCCATCGACTGTCTAGGATGAAATCCAGCCCTGGTCTATCTCCTGAATGCAGATGCTTCTAGTCTGTTTGCAAAGAGGGTCAAATTAGTTGCCCTTTGTTTGCTTGGAGAACTTCTCTTAATGTTAGTGAGTTAAAGAGCTAGCAAGAGGACCTCATCAAATATACCGTGCAGGTATACAAGAAAAAAAAAAAAGAGGGAGAGGGTAGCTATATGGCTGTACCATATGGCTGCAACAATTCTTAGAACTATAACATTTTCTATTTTTACTGATAAAGGTTTTTAAAAATCCCGTACAGACAGAAGGCAAAGAATGACCTCCCGACAAATGTTTCACACACTTATTTTAGATCTATTTTTATATTTTAATCAAGAGTTAATCTCACAGCCTGGTATGAAGTAGTGGGCTCCCTGAGCTGACACACAGAAGGGGTTAATTTAAAAACAGAATCTAGGGACGCCTGGGTGGCTCAGTCAGTTAAGCGGCTGCCTTCGGCCTGGGTCATGATCCCAGGGTCCTGGGATCGAGTCCCACATCAGGCTCCTTGCTCAGCAGGGAGCCTGCTTCTCCCTCTCTCTCCTTCTGTTTGTGCTCCCTCTGTCAAATAAATAGAAATCTTTAAAAAAAAAATAAATAAAAATAAATAAATAAAAACAGAATCTACTTTGATACAAAGAGATGCCTTCTTCCAGCCATACAGTAGGATTGCACCCTCATCTTAGGTCCAAGGATTTCCATGCGCCAAATACCACTGCTGGTAACCTTCACAACCTGTGTTGTTCAGCAATTAACCTCAGAATAGTCCACTTCTTGCCAGTTACGTTTTAAAGACATAAGAGTTCTTTTTAAATGGCTGCCCAATGTTAAATTATTTAATAAAACACTATGAATTCTGGTCGCTTACCAGTTTAAATTACTCCCTATTTTGTGTATGAAAGCACATTAGAAACTGGTTAATTAGGTGATTACAGAACACCCACTTATTTTTATTTTCTTAAAACAAAGTCACCGTAAGATATTGGAAACAGCACAGCCACTAAGAAATAGCTCTCTCTGAAAAGGTCTAAAAGGATCACTTCTGACAGTAAGAGTACTTTTTGTGAAGTCTGACGTCAACACAATTCAAATTACCATGACATTAAAAGAGAAAATACTGCTATGATTGAAAAGAATATTGGAAAGAGGTGCATTAGGAAGGCTCCATTTATTAAGACCAAATTGTACTCTATTAATCTGTTTAAAAAAAAAAATCTGAATATAGCAGAGCTCTCGGTAGGCCTGGACCTGAATCAACGCTCAGTAAAACGTCTCTCAGAGTTTCACTGGTGAAATTAGTTCAAACAGAACTGGATAAAAAGTCACATGAATTCAAAACCAGCTGGAAATCTGAAACCAAAGGACATTAGAGAGATGAAAGGTAGCACAACTAATTAAAGGAAAGTGTCCTGTAGGGCCCTACAGGAGTGAATATTTGGTTCAGAATTATTTAACATCTTTATTAATGACTCAGAAGGACAGAAGTAATGTATTCATGAAATGTAGAAATCGAAAAAAGCGGTGACCAGCAGCGGAAATGGGAAAGCATAAAAGGAGGTGAGATATTGAAAGAAAATACAATCCTGCCGAAGAAAAATAAGAGCACTAGATAGAACAGCATGGTCATGCATCTGATGCTCAGCCCCCAGGTGAATGTTCTCTCATGGGGGCCCCGATACAGACCCCAGGAAACTTGGGATATAACCTCCAATCTCCGGTGGGTCCCAGGACGTACCAAGAGTCAGAGTGGCAACTGAGACAACCAGAAGATGACAGACCAAGGTCCTGTGCTAAGAGACCAAGGCTCACTTCTCTGACCCAGGGACTCTAAGGGGAGGCTGACCTGGCCCCAGGCGGGGCTGCCAAGGCCACTCCACAAAGTTGTTACTCTTGGCCACTGAACTTTCCGAGTGTGGCAACTCAGAACTGGCCTGGGTGACTGGGACTCCATGACCAGGGCGGGTGGCTCCACCCCGGCAGAGACCCTTGACTGTAAATTAGACCCAGCCACTCCAAATCCGCCCCTCGGCTGAGTTTTGACTTCAGCACGAAGCTCTTGCTGCTCCACTCTCCTCCAGGCCTCAGTTTCCCATCTTGGGCCTCTTTTGCTCTCCCCGTCTTGGAGAAGATGC